TGCCTTTGTGCCTACCCAGCTAGCATCGCCTTTTCCCCCTTCCCTCTTCAACAACCCTGCCTTTCCCCGTTACGTCGAAACCAATCTGCCCATCGCCGCCATCGACAACCGTTTTACCGCCCCAATCTGCATGGCATGGTATTTGCATGTTTAGGGTCGCAACGGATCCTCAAGCTGACCTACGCAGTACGTCCAATTCCCTCAATGACAGGGTCTGAAACTGAGGTTTGTTCTGGAACCGAAGGGGAGGGCGTCGAATGCACACACACCAGAGGAATCTGCCTTTTCACGGCTTAGTCGGATCTAATAGCGCGATTAACAGTTCTGCGCTCTCCCCCATCGTCGACATGGCCCTCGACGATTCATCCGTGTTGACCGCCGTCATTGGTGGTTCCATCGCCGTACCAATCACTTGACACTCGACACCCTCACGTCATGCAAGATCAGGCACGTTTCTCCACATCGGTGAGAGTGCTCCGCACCCAATCACCACCATCCGCCCGGGCGTTTTGTCTGTTCAACCAACACGAGCAAGGGAAACTGGAGAAACCATGCCCCACCGTCTGTCCAAAGTACCTCGCCGAAAGCCTCAGAGTCACCTTTCGAAACCATGTTCATCGCTCCTCTCCGCTATCCGTCGTCTGCAAGATGCCCCTCTATCGTGTGGGCCTTCAAGGGCAGGAGACCCCGATCTCTGGGTTTACATGGTGCAGATGCATCGACATGAGAATCGACTAACATCTGACCGACTCTTTGCTCGCTTGCCCACTCGCTCTCGGATCACCAATAACCCTTGCGCTTCAAACTTCAGAGACGGAGACACTATTCATCAATATCATGGCACTTCCCCGTGCTATTACTCCACCAACAGTCGCAGCAGCAGCAGCAGTAGCAAGTCCCGGCTGCGTACCTCGGACACGTCAGAGCGCCCCCTCAAAGACATCAAGAGACACGCGACATGGCCGGACGAATTGACACAGCCGATCTCAATGACGGCAGACACGGAAAGAGGCCAATACCAAGCCTCAAGGTCTCGGTCCCTCTCTTACCCACGGCCCAGCAGCCTGCCTAATCTGCCACTTCCACTTGCCCATCTGCCGCCAGTGCATTCTGGGAAATCACTTCGTCGTCTGGGCTGGTCTAGCCGAAGCCCAGCACCAAGACAAAGTCCGTTGCCCGTTGATCTCTGCTCTAGCACAAAGCTCCGTGCCTCTACCAGCCACGTGGGTTCTCAAGCCCCGAAAGCAGATAAGCTATGCTGCTCAGATCCCTGGATCTGGGTCTGGACCCGTTCATGTTCACCCTGATCCATACAGAAGGGGAGTACATGCCCTCCGCCAAACTCCAACCTTCATCACACGCTGTGTGGCGCCAGACGGAGTACACAGTACAGACACAGGGAGGGTGCGAATCTTGCCTGCTTGCTGCTCCAACAATGGAAACTGCCACACATAGCTGCCAGCTCCAGCTGCTTGCTGCTGGCTACAGGTTCCTTGTCTGCCTGATGTACGCCGTTCCTCTCTCTTGGGTACGACCACCTTCAACGAATAACAACGACAATGCCAGTGTTCCCCCCTCCACCTCCGCCCCTTCAAACACGCTGACTCGGCCCATGGAACAGAGAGAATGCCACGCTGCTGCCCAGGTCCCTGACCCGCCACCTGGCTGACCTTGTATGGACGCCCATCAACTTTGACAGACGCAGTAGCGAATTCCACTCTGGCAACGCACTCCTAACCTTGGCGCGTAAACTCTCACGCTTCCCCATAGACAACATCGTACGATCTGATCTAAGCTTCGCCCTTCGCCTCGCCATGCCTTGTTGCCCGAGATCTTTTGCCTGAACACCCGATTTGCTCCGGATTTCCCACCCAGCATTCCACGAGGTCACCGGACCTAGATCTGGTTGGATCTCATCAAACGATCTGACACCCGTGTGTCTGCGCAAGGGTAGGGCCCATTCAATCCCATTCCGCATCTCTGCCCGCCGCTACCACCCAACCGGTCTCGCCAATCTATCTCTCCGTAACTTGTCACATCTGACGGTCCTGGGTGTGTATCGAACTCGTACAGTGCGCCAATGATGATGGCGGACATGATTGCAGCCGTCTCACGGTGACCCCTCAGAGATCCTTTCTACGGCCGTTCGGTTCGTCCTTGGTCGTCCACGGTTTAAGGGGTCCTACTAACTGCCAAACACACGCACATGTCGATCCAGCAAAACGGCCCAATACGAACTGCAAACTACTTAGAACCGCAGCACAGCCTCGCATTGCTGAACCACGCCCAGATTGCACTCCAGTCCCAGACGCGGGAGGCTAGCATCTAAATCCTTCAATAGCGCGCTCTGTACGAACCATCATCGCACGTCCAGCCCAGCCTGCTACGTCATGATGGTCCAGCAATCGGACCATGGCGCCTCGCGTCGATCACTGCCGCTTGCGGTTGCCATGAGTTGAAGCCGCTTCAGCCTGCCCACACGGTTCCCACGCGACATGCCATGTCCAAAGCCTTTCCGCGCGCAGATGAATATGCGCCCGAACCAGCATGAAAGGAACGGTTGTGCCGCAACAGCATGTTTTCTCCTTGCCTCAGTGCTCTTCGTGGCGGCGGCACTATCGACAAGGGAACGTAGGGAGATTGTGATAATAGCAGCCTTCTACGCTCTAGGCTGGCCTTCTATGCATCGCCGTTCAGCCGTTGCCCCTTCCGCTTCCCATACGTTCGGTTGAAAAGGGAACACCTAGGTCAATAGGGGCTCGGGAACACCAGTGGAATCCTTCCAGATTGTCTGCAGTGTCTTAGGGGCATCGTGTTAGAGGGAATTCCGCCTCCTTCACCTTGACCTCGCTGCCCCTAGTGCCAGACGATGCGGTCCGCTAGTCCTGCCACATCACTCGGCAGAGCTCAAACCGCCAAGCTGAGATGCAGAGTCGCACAAGTCCACTCCTCGTGAAGGGTCCCCATTGACAGCTCGTGGCTTGGCTTCGGTTTAGAAGATTTTGCTCGAACCCTCTCAGATAAGCCCAGCTCTCCCACGCCGCGTGCTGCAGACGAATGCGCCGTGCCAGCAAGACAACCCAGGCACAGCTGGGCATTATACGGTGTCTCACTACGCTGCTTTGGCATGCTTCGATCTTGACGACTCAGTGGCCAAGAGCCCATCAAACCAGCCACAGACAGCCGCATGACCATGCTCACAACGTGGCTCTCCGGCAGAGAAGTGTGGAATGCATTTGCGAAATCACGGTAATCTGCCAGCAGGCTTGGACTGACGGGCACCGTGATGAACTGCGGAGCCCGCAGAACCTCGCTTCAGCCCGGTGCGGCACCGAACAAACGCCATCGTACGCTGCCATCGAAACAACTTCCTTTCTGCCTTGCCCACGGCATCTTCATCCCCTCTCTTGCTCCCGAAATCGAACTGCCGGTGCAGCTATTTCCGCCACAGGATCGAACTTATTTTGGCGTGCCGCCATCGAGCAGATCCAAGACACACGGCCTGGCGGTTCAAACAACATCTCGGTCAAACTAGCCAGCCCAAGGCGCTTAGGCTCCCGCCTCTGGGGGGGAAAACATCACACGAACCCCGTGTCGATTTCGTTTTCGGTCCCAGCGTCGCGGGCTTGCTAACAGGGCACGGCATGGCACAACCGCAGCTCTCCCCACACCCGCCACGCACACAGGCAGCCTCTCTCTCACACATGGCTCTCACACACCCCCTCGGTTCTAGTGTAGAGCCAGGTACCAGCTATCCGGGTCATCCCTTCCCTGGAAACTGGGAGCGGGAAACTCCATCGACGAAACGCAACGCCACCTTTCATTTTGCCCATGGCTGTTTTTGTTGCAAATTACGGCCGATTCCAACTTTCCGGAATATCACCCATATGCGTGACGCCCTCCCTTCCCCAATCAAGAGCCAGGCAACGTCAGCGGGAATGCCCATTGCCCAGCCTTGCATCAAACGGACGTAAGAAGGTCGGAAGCGAAAAACAGGTCTCGCATCATAACTTTCCCGTGCGAAACGGGCATTCCTCTTGCGTTCTGGCCAGTTCTTTCCTTGCTGCTCCAGCACCGCGGAGCTGGGTCGAACATTGTTCACTCCCTCACCCGCCACCCCCTTCCACGTGAAGCAGACACACAGCTAGCCACGCGAAATCGGCTTGGCTCAAGGAGTAATCCTTCACGCCTCCTCGAGTGCGGAAGAGAGAAAGAGCTTGTTTCCTTTTACGGCTAAACTCGCGAAGCGCATGTAGGCTGCGATATCCACCTTCATCTCAGACGTCATCTAATTTCGCATCTCCCACTTGATGACGATGTCTTAGGGGTCCCCTACGCGGCCGTGAGGCTGAGATTGTGAGCTACTGGCACGTTAATGCTCAGATTGCAAATGTGATCACTCAGGTTCAGAGTTTAGCTGCTTGCTGCGGGCGAACGAGATTGAATCTTTGCCCGTGAACCACTCACACGCCTGCATACCCACACCCTATTCGTAAGACATGTTCAAATCCAAAACTTCATCTGCGGCTGATGACCGCCCGCCACGTAGATCTAGAACAAGATCAACTGGGCACGGAGTGGAGGCTTCTAGGGGAAATGGGGGCGTCGGGCGTCATTGAGGGAAAACAAGGGAAAAGAATATGTCACGATGCTTGTCTTACGATGTACTGCTGAAAGTCTATGATCATTACGTGTAGGAGGAATGTCTCTTCAATCTCCCGGCGGAGATGCTGATGAAGAGAGAGAGAGAGAGAGAGGCTAGGAAACCCAACGATGCCTTACACCCCATCGTAGGAAGGGCTGAACTGCGCTCACGGCGACGCCCCCGATCTCGCTCGCTTCAGGGGTCCATCTTGTCTCTCGTCCGCCTGCCCATTAGGTCCCCTCTTCTTCTCGGCGTCTAATTAAGGCAGAAAGAAGAATCGTCAGCATCCTGAGTCACCATGTTCACGTAGACACCTAACGAAGAGAAAAGGAAAAGAAAAAGGAAATTTGCAGTTTTACGCACCTCCTCCGCACCCCCTCCTGAAGTCGCCGAGCAGGCTCGGCAGCCCGTAGACGTCAAGCCCCCCGAAACCCTTGCCCGCCGTCTCCCGCTCGCCGACGGCGATGACGGCCGCGACGATGTCCTTCTGGATCTCCTCCGAGACGACGCTATCGTGCGCGTAGCCCGGGTGCACGTCGACGAAGTCGCGCAGCCAGCGCGCCGCGGTCGACAGCTTGCCGCTCGCGCGCTGGCTGACGAGGCGCAGGTACGTGTCGAGCTCGCAGCGCGTCTGCACGTCGACGTTGACGCCGTCGAGGTAGCTCTCGACGAGCGGGATCAGGCCGGGGAAGCCCCCGTCGGGGCGGCCGTTGATGACCTCGTCGACGGTCATCTCCTCGTACTCGTCCTCGACGGGGCCGACGGGGGTCGGGGGCCGGCTGGGCACCGCGGAGCCGGGGCGCGAGCCGGGGCGGGATGTGGAGTTCGGGTTGGCGGTGATGTTCTCGCCGAGCTGGCGGCCGGGTCTGCTGGGGAACGGGTTCCTGCGGAAGAAGAACTTGTCCTTGAGGACGGCGTCGACGTTGTGGGCGCGCTCCATGTTCTCGTCGACTTTGGTGATGGGGATGTAGAAGTTGAGGTCGAAGCTGAGGATGGCGCGGGTGACGAGGACCATGAAGACGGAGAAGGCGGCGTTCTCGAAGTCGGTGAGCTGGATCTCCATGGGGCGGAACTCGACGCGCCAGCCGATGCTGTTGTCGGCGGGCGGGGGCTTGAAGCGCATGTGCTGCCAGTTTGTGCTCTGCAGGTTCTCGAAGTGGTCCGTCTTGGAGAGGTCGAGCTCCTGCAGGTCCTCCTCGAAGACGACGATGGGGTCGCGGATGAAGAGGTGGGCAAAGTGCGTGGCGAGACGGTCGTCCATGCCGCCGGCCATCAGCTTGGCCTTGATGGCCTCGTCGATGACGAGGTCCGGGTAGAGGTACTCGGGCCGCAGGCGCGGGTCGGTGGAGATGTAGGTCGAGTTGGAGGCGTAGCGGGACTTGGGGATGCGCCAGCGGTCGTTCTTCAGGGGCTTGGGTTTTGTCAGTATGATCGGGTTCTCTGGAAAGGGGGCCTAGAGGTTTACCTTCTCTCCGAGCTCTTCGGGCGTTCTGCAATCGACCGCCCTGCTGATCTGGTTCCATCTCACATCCGTGTTCGCGAGGAAGCCCTTGTACATGGGCGTGGCGGCCGTCAGGGCGAGCATGATGGGGCCCAGCGGGCTGAGCTGGTCGTACATCTTCCTGCCCTCGGTGATGTTCTTCGCTTGGAACGTGATCTGCAGACAGCAGCTGCCCATGCCGAACGCCATGGCGTCCATGTGGATGAAGTTGTCCGGCGCGGCGCCGCCGCTGCGGACGTCGTCGTCTTCGGGCCAGTTGTGCAGGTCGTAGTTGACGGTGGGGTCCTTCCAGGGGTTGGGGGTGTTCTTGTCGTGGAAGACGGGGACATTGACCTGGACCTTGCGGCCGCGGCGCCAGCGGATGTTGGCGGCGAGGGTGGGGAAGCGGATGTGCGGATTGGCGATCTCGTCCGGGACGAACTGGGAGCGCAGCTTGGGGCCGGAGGGCGGGTAGTAGGGCTCGGTGAAGTCGCCGGGGCAGCCGATGCGCGGGAAGGTGGTGAGGGTGATGGGGTACTCGTTGGCGTGCATGTGGTCCTTTGCGATCTTGCGGCGGAGCTTCATGTCGGGCTCGACATCGAGGAGCTCCTTGAAGCCGATGCCCCAGGGCTTACCCGGGGTTGCTTCGAGCATGAAGCGGCCGAATTCAGGGTGGAAGACGGGGAGGGTTGTGCCTCTGCGGGACGTGTTAGTCGTGTGTGCGATGAAGTGCTGCCAGAACTGCCCTCTCTCGTTCATGTTGGGTTTGAGACGAGATGAGCAGTGAGAGGGATAGGAGAACTCACGATTCTCTGGCTACATCTTGAAGTTCAGGCACGCAGCCGCCCTCCTTGGCCAAATCGGGGCTCTCAGCGAGGGCCGTGAGGATCTCAGCTTGTCTGAGCGATAGACGGACCTTGGGCTCATCCTTGTCGTAGGTGACAACCAAATATTCGACCTGTATCACACATCAGAGACGTTATTTCTTCAAAGGGTGCAGCCGTTCTCATGTACCTCGTCTCCCCACAACATGGCATCGCGCTCCTTTCCCTTCGCCTTGTTCCATATCTCTAGCAGTTGCTGTAGAAATCATGTCAAAAGTCAGCAGAGTGAGCATACGATGAGGCGTGAACATCTCATGGTGAGAGAAGTGTGAGTGTCATCGAACCTTGATACCCCACTCGCGGACCTGATCGGCGCGCTGCTTCGCATCCGGCCAGTCAAGGGCGGTTCCCAGAGCTCTACAAAATACGTTAGGATGCTTTCACCACTTAAGCTACATGATGCGCAGGAACTTGCAGGAGACCCATTGTTGTGAATTGTATGTTTTGGTGATGTTTGCGATGGTGGGGTTGGGGCGGCTACGACCGGCTCCGTCTTGAGCCCCCGTTGACGAAGTTACTGATGATCGACGTTTAGGTATGTACGTGTACGTGATGCCCGTTAAGAATGCATATAACAATATGTTTGACGATCGTGATTATTGACAGGATGCTACGTCATCCGCCTTGTCGATAACGCCCTTGGGAGTATCTCGTGAGGGGGAGTGGTGACCGTTTGTTGTTTTTTCCGCCGTTTACCAGCTATGAGGTAAGCCGTCGTCAGCCCGTTCAGCTTCAGCGATGCAAGGCAAGCGCGCTTGTTGGGATGACCGGGGGTGTTTGGCAAGGAAAAGGAGGTTTCTTCAGCGATGGCGCAATAGTTCTAGGCGTACGGGTTCCCGGGGAGTGAGTGGGTGGGTTTGTCCGAATTGGAAGTTGTCTGCGGTGTAATGCAATGTGATGTGATGTAGACTTGCGGCTCAGCCCGACAACCGACCGGCCGACGGCGGGCTAAAAAAGCAAAAGGTGGGGGTTTTTTGATGGAATGTTGACAAGCCGCTTTGCTGCCCGCGGCGGTTATGGGATTTGGGGGTTCCGTTGTAGGTAACAGTATGGTTGCCGCGGGATGGGAAAACGTGGTGGTCCCTATTTTCCCTGATCACGCAATGTTGGATTTGAAAGGGGAGAAAGGGGATTGGACAGATGGAGATGGATGAATGGGCTTTTGGAGGTTCTAGAATGGAGGAGGGAATAAGGTATGGTAATTGCGTCGAGGGGACGGGTTTGTTTCCCGCGCGCAGGAACTTGTCTGGTATGTGGGGTCTGATGTTTTCTGCCGTTTTTTTTTCTGCGATGTTTCTGCGCCGCTGTACCAGCGAATGATGGAGGGGCAGAATGGAGGGGTTGATTAGAAATCACATGCGTTGCTTAGGGATCCTTGAAGGAGGGGGCTGGGGTGGAAAAGGGCATAGACGACAATCCGCGTTGAATTTTCTCTCAATTGACGAGGAAAAGCTCAGAAAAGCCTTTGGGACGTGGGGATCTGTTTAAATTCTAGTTCCGGGCGGCTTCGGAACCGCCGACTTGAGAGTCCAGGGTGCGTCTGTTGACGACTCGGTGAAGGATGTCGATATTGGGTTGTCAAAAGTTGATTAGATTGGATTGGCCTATGGTCTGGGGAAGTCTCGGTGCTTGCCCGGCTTCTCTCTTTGCAGGTTCAGCTTCGGCTGTGTTTTGACTTTGCGGCGGCTCCTCCCCGGGCGGTAGCTGTTTCTGGTACCTACCTGGACAACCCTTGAGGCAAGTGGGTTTTCCGATGTGGAGGGCACGTCTCGACGCATCCCGATGACGGCGGGTGGTGTTAATGGATTTAAAGTCCGGGTCGGATTTCCCATATCATGAAATGCATCGCGTACAACCTCGGATACTGCGCTACTACGATGTGATACTTGTCCACGTTCCGTTACAACTCTGTCGCTATCATCTTTCCACGGAATCTGGTGGTAAGGTGTCCGGAAGCCGACCCCGGAAGCCGAGGGATAAGACGGGGGCCGACTGACAGGGGCGGTCTCCAAAGGCGAGTTAAGCGCCATCATCGGGCTGGATGGATTTGTCATTCAGTAGTTTCTGGTGCCGCAGGTGAGATGCCCTCGTTCGATATCGTTGCGGACTCGGAGGGCGCAGCCGATGCGTAAGGCAGGTTTCGGCATGCACCCGGCCGGGTCCAATCACCGAGACTTATCGTCACCGCCTCTCGTCAGTTACTTACTTGTCTGTACCGGCCTGAGACTTAACAGAGTAAAGTAGAACACAGGTTGCAGTAGAGAACACGATAATAGCCATGTAGCAAGTGTAGTTGTGATTGGGGACACAGGATCTCAATATGCTAGTGCTGATAAATCTGCATCAGGAAATGTCACATGAGTTGCATGTTGTACGACGAAAGGCTTGATTAGAAATTGATTTTTGGGCCCGTTGTATAGTACAGAATTCCCGTAATGTGCAAAGGAAAAAGAAGATGATTTGCGCAAGCGCGAAATGCAAGCCTGCCGACCCAGACCGGACCCCCCAAACGGTCTCCTGATCCCAATCTTGGAGAAGAATACCCCGTCGCTGTCTTCCCTGATGCGAAGACATCCATTCACGCAACTCAACTGCCAAACCGAGCTCGGCCATACCTTCGATACCACAGTAACATGATTCCGTTCTCACTTCCGGGTCCGCTTGTGCTAGCACCGTTCGTAGTTAACCAAGCCTGAACATGCTGAAACCATCCTTTATGTTGTCCGAGTTCGCCAAAGCAAAGTGCGAGCCGCAGTCTTTCCAAACCATACCGTCTACTAACGCGAGTAAGGATGGAAACCGCGGTTGCTGCTGCGTCCGCCTCCGCGGTAGTTGGCGCCTGGCTTGCCCGCGTTCTTGGGGCCCGTAGGCGCGTTGGCAGGCGGGGCATGCGCAGGGTCTGGCGATCCCTGGTGTGCGCCCCGATTTCCACGGTTGAAGCCACCTCCACGACCGCCCCCAGGGTTCATGTTGGGCTGGGGCACGTCGTCGTACATACCCTCCCAAGATGTCGGAGCGCCTCCACCGCCCATGTTGTAGGCTGCCTGCTGGTTGTTGTTGTTGTTGTACTGATCACGCCCACCACCGCTGCCAGTGCTGCCGCCCCGTCGCGGTCCTTGCTGCTGCGCTTGACCTCCTTGAGACGGGTCGAACATCTGCTGTTGGGGGCTGAAGCTGCCACTGGGTCCTGCAGGAGGTCCACCCTGCTGTCCCATCTGCTGTCCCATCTGTTGCTGCATCTGCTGTTGCATTTGCTGCATCTGCTGCATCATCTGTGGCGTCATCTGGCCCATCATGTTCTGTCCATTGCCGCCGCCACCGCGACCCATCATCTGGTTTTGCATTTGCTGCATTTGCTGCATCTGCATCATTTGCTGCATCATGGCCGGGTTCATCGGTCCCATGCCGCGGCTCATGGCCATCTGCTGCTGCATCATGGCAAAATACTGCTGCATCCTTTGGAAATATTGAGCCATGACTTGCGGCGTCATGCCACCGGCAGCGCCCATCTGGCCGCCTCCCATGCCGCCCTGACTAGCGGCGTCGTCTCCCTTGCGGAACTTGCCTCCGCCGCGGCGGGCAGCCTCTTCCTCCTCCCGGAGATTGCCTCGCGGCTGGGCCTTCTTGACCTCAATCGGCTTGCCATGAATCTCGAGACTTGTGCTCAAACAGGCCTCCACGCCAGCTTCGCTTTCAAAAGTAACGAATCCAAACCCACGGGGTCGACCCGTGTCCTTATCCATCATCAACGTGGCATCAACCACGCGACCGAATTGCTGGAAGTAGTCCTTGAACTCTTGATCGGTGGTCTCCTGGCTTACACCGCCAACGAAAATCTTGCTAGTCTTCTCTTGCTCGTCGCGGGGAATAGCACGCTTCGGGTCGATCTGGTTTTTTGTAAGCATGACTTCAAGGCCAAGATCAATTTGGAGTGAATATACAATTTTGCCATCCAAGAAATGCTCCTTGACCATGACAATGTTCACGGTCTTGGGGTCTCTAAAAGTGAGGAAACCGAAACCTCTTGACCGGCCAGTGCTGCTGTCGCGCATGACTGTGCACTCAACGACCTCGCCAAACTGCGAGAAATAGTCTCGAAGGGACTCTGTCAGGAGTTAGTGAGTTATGGGGCATTACTGGTGCACCGGCGGAACTTACGATCAGTAGTCTCCCAGTTGAGGCCGCCAATAAACATTTTTCTGCACGAGATTCAGTCAGTAAGCTCAATCTCCCAAATTTCAGTATACGGCTGTTTGCAGGCATGGTGGCAAAGTGCATCGAACAACTGCGGCTTTGGGTTGTCGGGAGCAAGCGCACACTTGGCTGATTCCAAGCGTGGCGCAGGTGAATGTCGATGCAATGGCAAGCGTGGACAGTTGCTGCAAACTGTGCAATTCCTCCTCTTCAAGGTCGTCAGAGAGCTTCAAGGCTTAGTCTGGGCTAGGGTAGCAGTTGTTGAATATCCCATCGCGGTTTCTTTTCCCCACGTCTTGAGGCTCGCGATGCCCACCCTATCTTTCAAACACGGCAGGAATGCTCGTTGGTGTTTATCAAAGCGAGTATCGGTTGAGTTCCTTCCACATCAAGTCGTGCGAGATCCGGATACTTCAGGCCCTGGTGGGAACCAGAGTATGATTTGTCGTTGATGAGCGTCGCCAGCCAGCCACGAAAACTCTCACATGTGGGAGAATTGCGGAGCGGATAGCCTGGTCATTGTCGAATGTCTGGTGTCTTTTGCTATCGTCAAGTCTCTGCTAGAATCTAGCTTCGAGCGCTATCCGCTGCTAATCTTGCTACAGCAGCCGAAGAACGCTGACGGTTCTCATCGTGCTCTAAAGACCATCTGCGACTGGGCTATAGAAGGAGCATTTGGCTGCTCTTGAACTGACTGAGTGACTGACTATCGGCGGCATATCTCGGTGATCTCAGGCTGCTTTTCCAGCTGACTTTTGTGGCACCTCTTTCTGGCTTCTCTTTCTGGTTCATCGAGCTCTCTTGTCTTGAGTCTGGTTCTTCCTTGGCTTGCTCGATTGACCCTGAAGTCTCATCCATAGACGCAGTTGACCGACGTCTTCTGGTGTTGCCGCCTCTTTCTCCTCCCAAGTCCCAAAGACCATTCAAGTCTGACCATGGGCCACTGACACCCAAGCACCCGAGAACCACAGCTGGGCAGCTGCTGGTTATTTCATTCGTAGCAGGCACGTCCACTTTGAGTGCCATGCCGTGGGGATGTGTAGCAATGCAAACGTCACGTAAATATAATCACTTACCCGTCTTCCTTGGCACTAGGGTTCTTGGCCGTGCTCGTTGAGTATGTTGGCTCCTCGTGCTTAACCGCGCCCATTCCGTTTGACGGAGGCGCGTGGGAGGTCGTCGCGCCTCCACCGCCACTTCCACCTCCACCACCGAGGTTGAAGTCTACCTCATCATCATCATCCTCGTCTTCGTACCTCATCTGATCATCGGCACCGTGGTCTGGCTCGGCTGAAGGAGGCGGCTCGGCGTATGTGTCATGGGTCTGAACGGGAGCTGCGGCAGGAGCGGGCGCCGCGGCGGGCTCCGGGGCGGCAGCCGCCTTCGCGGGGGTATCATCGTCGTAGCTGGAATAGTATCAGCGTCTGCGTCGATGATGGTTAGGCTGGAAGGGATGCCATATCACTCACAGGTCGGCGAAGAGATCCTCCTCAAAGTTCTCGGGCTCGGTCATCTTGTCGCTGATCGAAGATGCTGCAGGTAACGTTTGGGGAATCGATGCCGGTTGTCGATGAAAATCCTGCAACTGAGCGAGACGAAAATGAAAAAAAGGGAAGGAACTAAATGGGTTAATGAACGCGAGCAACAAACGGAGATGGCACGTCGTCGTTGACGTGGTTTAGCAGCACGGGTTGTTTGGATATTTCTTGAGCGAGAGTGGACACCTGGTGAAGAGGGTGGAAGGTGGGACCACAAGGTGGCGGAGCCAATAAGGGTGCTCAATCCAATCAGAGCTCCAAAGGCTGAGGAAGGCGCCCGTGCGCAACAGGCTAACCTTAGCAGCTTGGACTCAGCAAAGGCAAGCGCGCCTCGGCTGCTCACGTGACTAGGAAGAAAACGGAAAGAGCCTTACCTCAATAGGAGTTCCGTAGACGTAAAGAACCTTGCTTGTGTGGACCACTTCAGACGCTGGGCCGTGGAGTGTCTTACGGGTCACCCACGCTTTAGAAAGGACTTTTGCGACTGAGGCTGGGGCGTTGCTCTGCGGCCATGTAAGGTACCGTACCGGATTGTTTGAGTCTGACCGTTTGCGACCCGCTTGGAATTCTCACAACAACGACTAAAAACCCCTGCGGTACTTGTCGCCTTATCTGTCCAGGCTGAACCTTCTTTCTTGGTTATTGCAGCGCAAGCTTCAAAGCCATATCTGCATCCTGATTGCATATGGGCTGAAAAGAAGCATTAAAGCTATCTTAGTACGGCCAAAGGCCGAATCGTAACTGGAGCGCGGGAAACACCATCACCGCCACAGTCTACCGGCCGAAGCCACAGTGACCTCCTCGACTCCACTTCAACTGCTGCTCCGAGCGGCGGGCGGTACACTAATGTGAAGCAAGGGTCCGGCCACTGGTCACTTGCTCGGAGCTCAGGCGACTCGTCTGGCGCATCTCAACAACAATACACAATATGAGACTCTCTCAATAGAGAAACGACAAGATGTTCTCCTCTTCAGGGAGTGGGAAGAAACCCGCGCAACAGGTATGTATGCCCCTAAGCTTCCATGTTCCAAACCGTCATCGCATGCTAAGTTGCCCCGCAGCAGGAGATGGTTCAAGTCGGTGGGTTTCGTCATAACTCTTGTAGTAGCGCGAAGAGCCTCTTGCCTCAAGAGGCTCGGTCGTCGCATACTGCGTGTGGAAGTGCCTGGCTAATATGATCTTTCACTCCCGACGCAGATCGGTCCGAGTATGTTGACTCTGCAGCCTTGCAAGCAAACAGCCGGGACTGACTTGGGGTAGTTCTGCATCGCCGTTTTGGAAACCGCCGCCCCCACGCGAGAACACACCGAAGAGGACAGGTCGCGACTCCAGCCTGGTTGTTGGAGCTGCCTACTCCCATGCCGATATTCTCAAATTCGATTCTCTGTGCGACGCCCTTTTGCAATGCTGATTTCAAAACATCCCGCTGACTGGCAGCAAGGAACCTTTCTAGCTCCTCTTCGAGACCGAAAACTCCACCATCCTCCCATTCGACTAAGGGCCGACCGAGCGATGTCTCTCCCCCGACCTCGAGGCCTGCGTCGGGTCTTTCGTCGCCACCAATCAAGAGCTACATAAACTTCCTATCCAACACGAACGATGACTGGAAGGCGGACGAGGACGATATGATGGGGTATGAAGATGATGACGGCGACGACTTTGGCTTGCCCAGTCTGTCCAACATGAAGAGACGAACGCGCAAGATGGCAGCGCAGAACAGAACCGACCTTAACGGAAGTCTATCGCCAATGGACGACTCCTTTGGGCTTGGGCTTCACACCAGAAGATATTCAAACAGTGCAGACATTGCCATTGAAAGGCCTGCGCCAACCTACCCCATGCCCAAGAAAAGCGAGGGCAAGATTTTAAGACCGCAATACAAGGAGATACTCAGAGGTAGGTCGCGGCGCAAAAAACGTGTTATGCAGCGCTGATTATGACAGACCCCGCAAACGCCCTGCACCTAATTGACCACCCCGCCGTCCCCGCCAACGCGACTCCTAAAGAAATTGACGCCGCCAATTCTAGGATAACTCGGATTAACAAGTTCAAAAAGCTCCTGCAAGCCTCCACGATACCATTGCAAGATCTGCGGCAACTTGCGTGGTCCGGCGTCCCTCAGGAAGTCCGGGCTATGACGTGGCAATTGCTGCTTAGCTACTTGCCGACGAACAGCGAAAGAAGAGTCGCGACTCTGGAAAGAAAACGGAAGGAGTACTTGGACGGCGTCCGGCAGGCCTTTGAAAGAGGCGGCACAAGCGCAGCCCCAACAGGCAAGGCGAGGGGACTGGATGAGGCCGTGTGGCATCAGATCAGCATTGACGTTCCGAGAACGAACCCCCACATCGAACTGTACTCATACGAGGCAACCCAGAGGTCGCTGGAGCGGATTCTATATCTTTGGGCCGTACGACATCCTGCCAGTGGTTATGTGCAGGGTATTAACGACCTGGTGACGCCATTTTGGCAAGTATTTTTGAGTGCCTATATTGCCGACTCTGACATAGAATCCGGCATGGATCCTGGTCAGCTGCCCAAGCCAGTCCTAGACGCCGTGGAAGCGGACTCGTTCTGGTGCCTGACGAAGCTCCTTGATGGCATTCAAGACCACTACATCGTGGCGCAACCAGGCATTCAAAGACAGGTCGCCGCGCTTCGCGATCTGACAGCAAGGATTGATGCCAGCTTGGCGAAGCATCTCGAAAACGAGCATGTGGAATTCATCCAGTTCAGTTTCAGGTGGATGAACTGTCTGTTGATGCGAGAAATCAGTGTGCGGAATACAATCCGAATGTGGGATACATATTTGGTGAGTCGCTCGGGCTTGTTTGCTGGTCTAGTCTAACGTCTCTTGCAGGCTGAAGAGCAAGGGTTCTCGGAGTTCCATCTGTATGTGTGTGCCGCATTCTTGGTCAAATGGTCGGACAAGCTGGTCAAGATGGATTTCCAGGAGATCATGATGTTTTTGCAGAGTCTACCGACGAAGTCGTGGACGGAAAAAGATATCGAACTCCTGTTGAGTGAGGCATTCATTTGGCAGAGTCTGTTCAAGGGCTCATCGGCACACCTACGAGGACAGCCAAGCCGGACGCCATCGGCGAACATGCAGTTGTAGGCCCTTTCGATAAATAGCCTCATTGGTCATTGAACAGGTGAAAGAGGATACAAGGCAAGGACGGGAATCGGGGTCTGGAAACATGTCAATCTAAGCCAAAAGATAATTACGAGGCAGCAATGGTTGCAGTGGGAGCGGTAGCAGCACCCTGTGGGCTATTCTCCTCCCCAGAATTGATGGGATTTAATACAGTGCATTGCACAGTTGATCTCGTCATACGCACTCACTCTTTTTATTGGGTCGACCCGGTCTGACGTGCAGGAAAGAGCTATCCCTGCAGCTTGGTTCCCCAATCAACGCGGCCTTCTTCCAGCTCGCGCGTCGTACCACAGACAAAGGCAGCTGTCAGTCCTTGCTCCTTCCCCGTCGCAAAATCATCCATTCATCTTACAACCACCCTGCGCAAGAGATTTTGCTCTTCCAATCCATCAATTGACACCCCCCGATCACAAAAGCACCTCACTCCCATCCTTCATGATGGCCGACGTTACAGAGCAACCCACGATTGCCGCAGAGGTCCCTATCGTTGAAGCACCTACTGTGGTGGTCCCCGTCGCTGTCGCAAACCCGGAGGAGCTCAAGCAGGATGCGCCCGCTCAGCAGGACACTCCCGCCACCGCTGGCGGCGAAGAGTCGGAAGAGGATACCAACTCCAAGAAGGTTACCCTTGCGGATCTGACGGCGAAGGGAACTGCGCTGTATGCGAAGAAGCAATACGACGAGGCCGCCGAGAACTTCACGAAAGCTGCAGAGCTGCAGGATGAGATCAACGGCGAAATGCAGCCTCAGAATGCAGAGATTCTGTTCCTCTACGGAAGGTGTGTTTTCAAGATTGGACAAAGCAAGAGCGACGTCTTGGGAGGAAAGGCCGCTGGCGAGAAGAAGGCCGAGAAGCCGAAACCCAAGGCCAAGAAGGCCGCCCCCGCCGCGCCGACCGATGCGCCTGCACAGACCGAGGCCGAGAGAATAACCGAGGAGGGCGTTGCGATTGTCGCCAATGAGACCTCTGGTGCGAAGACCGAAGAGACGAAGCCGCTGTTCCAGTTCACTGGCGATGAAAACTTTGATGATTCAGACGAGGAAGAGGTAAGCGGGATAGGGTCAGCCCATCGATCGAGAGCTGACTGTATGCCAGGCCGAGGGTGAGGGTGAGGAGGAAGAAGAGGAAGACGATGACCTCGAGACCGCATTCGGTGTACTGGACATGGCGCGCGTTCTCTTCTATCGCCAACTTGAGCAATTGGAGAAGGAGGAGCCCAATGGCAAGCCCCAAGAGCAGGTCGACGGCGAGACGAGCAAGATCAAGCATGTCAAGGAGCGCCTTGCAGATACCCACGACCTCCTCGCAGAGATTTCCCTGGAGAACGAGAGGCAAGTCTGCTATGCATGTCCCAGTGGGAAGCTTGCTGACCGAATCATAGATACCCCGAGGCGATTGAGGACTCGCGCAAGTCGTTGAAGTTCAAGAAGGATTTGTACACCAACGACTCTGAAGTCATTGCTGAGGCACACTTCAAGCTGTCCCTGGCCCTCGAGTTCGCATCCGTCACATCCACCAAGGAGGAGGGCGCCACGGAGTCGCAGGCTTTTGATGAGAAGCTTCGTGAAGAGGCAGCCAACGAGCTCGAGGCCGCCATCGAGAGCACCAAGTTGAAGCTCCAGAACAAGGAAGTCGAGTTGGCCACCATGGCGTCGCCTGAGGACAATGAAGTCACCAGAGCAACCATCACTGATGTTAAGGACATGATTGCGGACCTGGAGCAACGGGTTAGTAAATCTGACTGTATAGAAGTGAACCTTACTGACTATGGTGCTTTCAGCTTACGGAGCTTCGCAAGCCTCCCATCGACATGAACGCCGCTCTCGCCGACCAAGCCATGGGAGGTATCCTTGGTGCCGCTCTTGGTGAGTCTGCCGAGCAGACCCAGGCTCGCATCGAGGAAGCCAAGAAGTCAGCCAACGATCTCACTGGTCTGGTCAGAAAGAAGGCCAAGGAGGAGCCAAAGCCCGCCGAGGTGCCAGAGGTGCCGGAGGTGCCAAAGGTAGCTGAGCCAGCTGAGCCCCAGGCCAATGGCGAGAACGGCGCCAAGCGTAAGGCCGAGGAACCCGCAGAGGACGAGGACTCTGCAAAGAAGGCCAAGGTCGAGGAGACGGTGACTGCTGAGGTTTGAGGAGCACCTGTATGATTGTCATTCGGCGAGGTTGGTGCGAGAACCACGGGATTGGGTCGCGTTTTTATCTGGGTTTTTCACGGCACAACTGTACACTAGTTAACACTCTGGAAGGTGGGAAAGGGCATATGCGCTCCGAGATGAGCGATATCTATACGGCCGAGCCTGAATTGCATTTGATTCTTTGCGTGGAATTCGACACGAGACCGTTCTAAGTTATCCTCAAGACTGAGGTGCTCGAAGAATGCCGTAGCCCATGAAACTTGATCGTGAAGTCGTCATGAAGCAGGGGAGCGTTCTTTAACGGGTTCGTCGATGTTGCTGATAGCTTCCCCAAAGGTCGGTTCTGAGTCACAGGCGTGATCACCAAGCCCCCTTTTCATTTCCCATGCAGCTTATTGCAATTGCAATGCCAAAGTGAGTGGCAGAAAAGGGGGACGAATGACCTGCCGCTCTTGGAGTTGAGTAACACCTGCCATGACTGTGCAGAGGAGAGGCTGCTAATGGTGTGAGACCCTTGCCTTTGACCGCCCAGACCCGCCCCCGCCAAATGACCCCACCACAGCAACGACAATTTACCTACGACCACGAATCTGCCCAACTTTCTTGAGTCACCACGCCGAAGCCACTTCCACTCCGTCGCGCCGTCCTAAGGAAATAGTGAGTACGCGTCGAGCAAGTTCGAGTCATCGTGTAGTCGGAGCGCCGTATTAATCGCCCGATTTCTGTCGCAGCCCCCTCCGATTTCCCCTCGCAACCCCACCGAAAACCACACATCATGCTCGATCTCCAAGATTTCATCAAGGAGCGCGGCGGCGACCCGGAGAAGATCCGCGAGTCCCAGCGCCGTCGCCATGCCCCGATCGAGGCCGTCGACGAGGTCATTGCCCTGTGGGAAGGTACGAGCCCCCCCTACACACCCTATCGCGTGCGCGCGCAACCACGAAAACACTTCCAGGGCACGAATGGGAGAGGCTGACTTTAGGCGCCCATCGAAACAGACCACCGCAAGACCCAGTACGCCGCCACCCAGATCGGCAGCGACATCAACGCGACGCAAAAGGAGATTGGCATGAAGAAGAAGAACAAGGAGAACGCCGACGACCTGCTCAAGAAGAAGGAGGACCTGCAGAAGCAGAAGAAGGAGAAGGAGGACGAGGCCGTGGCGAAGCTCAAGGTGCTCAACGCCAAGGCGAAGAGCATCGGCAACTACGTCCACGAGTCTGTCCCCGTTAGCGACAACGAGGACAACAACGTCACCGAACGCGAGTGGAAGCCCGAGGCCGGACTGGGCGCCAAGACGGAGGAGACCCTTTCCCACCACCAGGTCGTCACGCGTCTGGCCGGCTACGACTCCGAGAGGGCCGTCAAGCTTGTCGGACACAGAGGTTACTGCTTGACCGGCTACGGTCTGTTGCTGTACGCGGAAGAGGACGCCGGGGAAATGACTCGCTGGGGCATGGGCTGACAATTGGAACAGGAACCAGGCTCTGATCCAGTACGGTATCGCATTCCTCTTCAACAGGGGCTACACGCCCAACCAGCCCCCCTTCATGATGAAGCGCGAGGAGATGGCCAAGACTGCCCAGCTTGAGCAGTTCGACGAGGAGCTGTACAAGGTCACCGGCGATGGCGAGGAGAAGTACCTCATCGCCACCTCCGAGCAGCCCCTCTCTGCCCTGCACAGCGAGGAGTGGATTCAGGCCAGCCAGCTGCCCATCAAGTACGCCGGTTACAGCACGTGCTTCCGTAAGGAGGCCGGCAAGCAGTACGTCCTACATTCTAAGAATGCGTTCATAGCGAGGAAGTGTCTTGGCTGACGAGACCTGAATATCACAGCGGTAAGGAGGCCTGGGGTCTGTTCCGTATCCACCAGTTTGAGAAGATCGAGCAGTTCGTCTTTTGCAAGCCCGAGGACAGCTGGAAGCACTTTGACGAGATGATTGCCAACTCCGAGGAGTTCTACAAGTCCCTCGGACTGCCCTACCGCGTCGTTTCCATCGTCTCTGGCGCCCTGTAAGTCACACCGCCCCCCTCACACACGCATTTCCATTCAGTCCAGCATGCTCATGGGAGAAACAGGAACAACGCCGCCGCCAAGAAGTACGACCTCGAGGCCTGGTTCCCCTTCCAGCAGGAGTACAAGGAGCTCGTCTCCTGCTCCAACTGCACCGACTACCAGACCCGCGAGCTCGAGGTCCGCTACGGTGTCAAGAAGGCCAAGGAGGCCCCCGGCGGCGGACGCAAGGAGTACGTCCACGCCCTCAACGCCACGCTCTGCGCCACCGAGCGCACCCTCTGCTGCATCATGGAGAACTACCAGACTCCCGACGGCTTCGAGGTACCCGAGGTGCTGCGCAAGTACATCCCCGGCGAGCCCGAGTTTTTGCCGTACGTGGCGGAGTTGCCCAAGGAGATTACCGTCGTCGCTGGCCAGAAGAAGAAATAGACGACTATGAGTTTCGGAGTGGTGCGAGGAGGGGCGAGATGAGACGGGCAGTAGGAATCAAGTGTCAAGAGGAGCATTTGAGTGTTCACAGTGAAGTATTCATATTTGTGACCAATCATTCAAAAGATGCAATAAACTTCAATCAATGCCATCCCCCTTTCCTATCCCAAACGCCAACAATGATGATTACCCAACCTTAGAACTCCAAAGTCCATAATCCCCTTCCATGTTGATTTCATCAAGACGTGTCAATTTTTGCCCATATCCAAATCCCACACATCCTCACTCGAACTTTCCACCACCAAACAAGCCGCCAACAGCCTTGACTCTCTGCTCCGCGCCCTTCCACTTTCTCGCCTCCCTCCTCTTCTCATTCTCCAGCACCGCCGCGCGGCGCTCCGTCTCGCGCGCGAGCGCGCTGACGCCGGACCGCTTGCTCGCGTTCTTCTTGATCTTGCCGTCGTCGCCGAAGCCGCTCGTGCCGCCGCCGGACGCGGAGAAGGGCACGCCCCCCGAGGCCGAGGCGGAGGAGCTCGACTTGAAGGAGGAGTTGGTCGTCGCGCGGCGGAGGAGCGCAGGGACCTTGAAGCTGCCAGAGCCGCTGCCGCCGGTGGAGGAGGCGGACGGCATGGCGAAGGCGAGCTTGGAGAAGGTGGTGGACATTGTGGAGGAGGATTGGCGTTTGAGGGAGATGCGGTCGACGACGGCGGCGCGGGTGAGGTTGTGGCTGCGGCGGGGGTTAGCCGTCGCGGGGACGCCGTCGTCGTTTTCCTTGTTGCTTCGCGAGGTGCCGGGGCGCTCGTTGTCGTCGTCGCTGTCCGAGGCCGGGTCCGTGGCGGGGATGACTTCCGCGTTGAGGTCCTCCAGCAGGCTCGACACGGACTCGCGGATCTCGCCAATGTTGGAGGGCTTCTTGCCGTCCTTTGTCCTGCGCATGTTCGCGGGCGGCCTGTTTGGCAAAGCGCCACCGCCGAGCGGCTGTCGCGCGGTGGTAGGCTGGCTGTCCGGGACGGTGGTTTGGTCTTGTTGCGTCTGAGACTGCGAGTCGTCGTCTTCCGTCTGCATGGGCTCCGCGGGGGCGAAGTCGAGAAAGTCCATCTCGTCGTCGGAGCCGCGATCCTCGATGGTGCGGAGGAAGGCCTGGTTGCCGGGCTTCTCAGCAATCTTCTTGATGCGCTCGTCGGCGAAGAGGGCCTGCTGCATCTTTTGGAACTGGCGGCGCTTCATGCGGCGGCGAGCCTCGCCGCCGTCGTCCGAGTCGGAGAGGTCGTAGTCCGCGCCGCGTTTGCGGCGGAGCATGCCGGTTGTGATGTCGTGGAAGAGCTTGTCCACCATTTTTTCGTCCGTGGCGCGCTCGCGTTCCCTAGAGTTGTGTCAGTAAATGTCTGGGGAGTTGGCATGGGCATGACTTACGCATGAAGGGCGGCGAGTTTGCGCTCGTCGTCGGCGTTCATGTTGCTCTGGTCGTCAATCATCTCCTTGACGGAGGCGGCATCGGAGTCGTCGTCGCTGTCTTCGCCATCCGCACCGCCGAGACCAGCGTACTCGTCCTCGGATTCATCGGCCTGCTCCTCGACCATCTCCTTCGCCTTGCTCTTCTTGCGGTTGTACTCTTGAGCCTTCTTGAGCTTCTCCTGCTTCTTGACGGCGTCCTTCATGATACCGAAGGCGGACGTGTTGAAGCCGAACTCGTCGACGTCGGGGGTCGGGGCTCGTTGGGTCTCCTCTTCCTCGTCTTCCACAGGAGCAGCGGCGACGTCGATCTTGCGACGGAGTCTGCCTCTGCGGACAAGAGGGGACTCGAGGACGGCGTCGGGCTCTGCGTCGCCGTCCAGCATCATGGTCTCAACGGTGGACGCGGGTGGTTCGACGAAGCGCGACCTCAGGGGCGTGTAGTCTTGCAGGCCGGCGTCCTGGGTTGCTTCAATGGAGATCTGGGTGGACGGCTCCTCGTCGCGAAGCAGGCTGTCAAGACCGTGCACCTGAGACTGGCTGAAGTGGAGGTGGACACCTTCCGCAGACTCGGGCTGCGTCTCAGCTCGTTGGGTGTCGCCGCCCTGGCTGTCGAGAATCATACTGTCCGGCTGGGTGTTGCTGATGAGGTTTGAGTCTGGAAGGGTATCAAAGTCTGGCATAGGTGACTGCGAGGGAATGGTTCCGAGAGCTGTCTGGCTGTCGTCCATAGTGCCAGCGAAGATCTGGGTCAGGCCGAGGCCGGCGGCTCCAGTAACGGGAAGTCCGGGAATGAACGTCTTCTTTGCAGATCGCAGGACGGAAGTAGGCACTGCGGGCGACTTGGTGTTTGGCGCCACAGGTGACCGTTGAGTGGCCGTCTTGGGTCTTGGTGTAGCCTGCACCGTCTCGTTGTCGTCCTCGTCGTCAGAAACAATTTGAGTCTTCTTGGATCGGCGAACATTCTTCGTGGGCAGATCCAAGTCATCCTCAGAGTCATCCAGGTCGACTTGCTCGGTGACGTCGGCCTCAGCATCCGAGTGCTCAGATCCGCTGTCGCCGGCTTCGTTGTCGACCAAAGCATTGCCCTCTTCTTCATCAGCAACACCCTCTTCCTCGTCTTCGGAACCAGAGAGCTCAATCTCGGCCTCGTCGTCGACCTCCTCCTCGGAGCCCTCATACTCTTCGTCGTCACTATCGTCGAAGGGATCGAGCTCGCCATTCTTCCTCTTTTCCCTCTTCTCTTCCTTGGCTGCTTCTCTCTCACGCGCCATGATCTCCTCAGCCTCCCTCCTGGCTCTGGAGACAATGTCCTCGACTTCTTGCATCTCCTTCTCACGCTCCTCTGCAGTTTGCACAGTGATACCTCTGGCCTTCAGTTCCTGGAGGCGCCTCTCACGCTCCAGCTTGGCTTGCTCGCGAGCGCGCAGCTGAAGGTTGAAGTGCATCTCGGCGGCGGTGATGCCCTTCTTCTCGGCACGACTCTTCCTCGCTCTTTCGGGCGAGCCAACCTGAGCGAGACGACGCAGAGCGTGTAGTGAGCTGGCTTCTCTAGACTTCTTCTCCGGAATGCTGTCGAAAACGGCGTCGAGCTTGCCCTTCTTCAGGCCGGTGATCTCAAGGTCGTCGTCCAAGTCAATCACAGCATTATGCGCTGCAATAGAAGGAAGCTTGATGCGAACCTGACGTTTGGGCTTAACCCCCTTGACTGCAGACTTCTTGGGGCTTGGAGAAGCCACAGCTTTGCCCTTGCCCTTGTCGAGCTTCTTCGAGGATTCAAACACATCGTCCAGTGAAGGCAGTTCCTCCTCGTCGCCGGGGATGACCACAGGCTGGGCCACCGTAGTAGCTTCCTTGGTAGGCGAAGGCACCTTGGCAACAGGGGGTGAACTGGGCGGCGTCTCAGTGTCCTTCATCTCAGCGTCGGTCTGGTGCGCGGAGACGGGCGTTGTCGGCCTGCTCGAGCTAGTCGTCTTGGGGTCGGACTTGGCTTCCGCGGTTCTGAAGTTGAATCGTTCCAAAAAGTCCGCCTTGGTGAACTTCTTCCGTGTCTTTGCCTCGTGAGCGAGCTGCATGTTACGGGCCATGCGCTGCGTCTCACGGTTCATCTCCTCAATGGCCTTCTTGCCAGCCTTTCTCGCCGGCCGTGCCGCCTGGCTCAGCGTCCTGCCGCCTTCATCGTCGGTGATATCAGATACGTTGTCTTCGTCGTCAAAGAGGTTGGCGTTCATGGCCTTCTGGCGTTCGATCCGCTCGGCCTTCTTCTTCTCCTCCTCGGCTTCGCGGGCCAGTCTTTCAGCTCGCTTGCGCTCAACGAGGGCTTGGAACCTTGAGCTCTTCAGGGCAGGAAGCGACGCGTCGGAATCGGAGTCGTTGGCTGCTGTGTCGTTTGCGGGCTTGCTTGGGGTCTGTTTCTCGGGAGACACGAAGAGACCAGGTGTAGGAGAACGCGCCGGGCTTTGAGCCTTTGGTGTGGATTCTCTCTCCGACTTTCTCTGCAGCCGGCGGGGGGCAACCGGGGTGTCGTCTTCGTCTTCGGCCTCTCCCATGACTGTGTCGTCCTCCTTATCATCATTTGCCTCGTCCGCTGCTTGGAGTCGCTTCTGGATGCGGTCGAGAAAGCTTTCGGGCTCTTCCGAGTCTGATCTCTCACCGCCGGCCATCTGGGCAGCGAGGCGACCTCTCGGTCGTCTGACGACCTCTTCTTCTGAGTCGCTGTTCATCTGTGTGGTCTTTGGGGAAGCCTTGCTCTTGCGGCTGGAGGTCTGGGGCTCGTCGTCTTCGGAGTCGGTGTCAATGGCGGCCAGACGGGCGGCGATCCGCGCCTGGAGCGACTCTGGGGCCGGGCTCGCGCTGGGTGAGCGCGCCGCGGGCTGTTCTGAAGCCATTGCGGGTTGTGATTAAGGTAGAATGTATGGTTATGGGTATCAAAACATGAAAAGAATGAAGCAAAGTTTGGCTAATGTGCTTTTGAAAAGGTACCGATAACCGAGTCAAAGACGAGTGTTGTGGTAGAGTTGTGTGGTGGGTGGTGGAGCAGGCCGTCAATTAAGACGGAAGAGCTCTGATACGCGTCGGTGGGACGCGCGACGTGTTGGTGTCGATTGCGGGACGGAAGCTTATCGCGAGCGCGGCGCCACTAAACACGCCGATAAGGAGCGCTGTGATGGTGGTAGACCCACTTTGGAGCTCTTATCGGCTGGGCTCGAGCTCCAGCACAAATGACGACACTTACACACGGCATTGATCAGGAGCTGAAGGGACATTGAAGTATTTTTGCTTGAGATACTTCTATAATACTATCAGAAACGGCAGCTTTCTAGCTATCCACTGTTAAAACTCGAGGAGAAATGATCAGCTTTACATGGAGATGAAAGGGAAAACAGTAAGATGTCTAAAAGCTCAGCTCGACCGACCTCTTGAGCAACCACGGGATTGCACTTCACCCGCACATGCCCAATGGAAGGGTTCACCTCACCTGCCGCTGGAGGATCGCTTCTATCATAGCCAACTCACCTGCCAGTTTCCGCAACAATGGGTGCGACCACCGTCGCAAGATAGCCTAGTGGTGGATTGTATACCTGGTTTCGGCACAGCTTGTGGGTTCGAGTTTAGGTGGCTCTCTCTACATATCTCCGGTGGCCGCCCATTGTATTTTCCTTTTTTTCTCCTTTGTGTTCACTTTCAACTTCTCAGATCTGTAAGTTGAGGAATGGCATAAGACTGACTGACTGCATGTACATCTACGGTCTGGATATGAAGCTGGCTAAATGCTTTGGCTAATTCATGTTCTCTTCCAAGTTGAAGTGCAAGAGGGGTGGGTACGTAGGTTTCTCTAAATTCCCTATTCACGCTCTACCTTCCTTGAACCCTTCTATTAACTTGTTTTCCTGCCGTCTCAATCTATCCAACCTCACAGCTAAGTTTTCTAGCGACCATGCTCTTCCTTCGTCATTATACCCGAGATCCAAGACATAGTAGGCCAGCAAGATGACGACAATCAAAGGAATAGATGTCACAAAGTACACCCAAAACAGGTCGTCTCCCGGCTTATATGGCGACTCCATCCCAAATAGTGATGTCGTGAACGCCAGCGGTATGAACACCAGCCCAAGCAGCGTGATGGCCTTGACCCGCTTCGCCTCGCTGATACTGCGCTGCTGCTCCTTGTACGCCTGTCGGTTGCCCGTGATGCTCGCCAGCCCCGTGACCGCGGCGTTCAGCGTCTCAGTGCGGTGCCGCAGCTCCCGGAACCGGAGGTACAGGAACTGGAAATCGGCCGCGCAGTCCTGCCACGCGATGCTCGCCGCCGACACAGCGCCGCGGGGCGGCGACGGCGATACTGGGGCGACCGGAGCCCCCGCCGGGTGCGACAGCGGGATGCCGAGCTGGAGCATGATGCCCTCCAGGTCCTCGAGGTACTCCCCCGTGCGCCGCTCCCAGCCCTGCATATCGCTCCACAACGCCTCAACCTTCTCCATGGGCATCCGGGCGAGGTCCTGCTTGCGGGTTAGCCCGCGCTGGACGGCTGAGAGCGTGGCGCGCAGGTGCTCCGTCTGCTTGAGGAAATGGGAGGCGACGATCTTCTTGACGAAGATGGCAACGGATTCTGGTTCTGCAATGTCGACGAGGCGCGAGTGCGTCTCGAGGTAGAAGGAGAGGTCCTCGAGCATGGAGATGCGCGGCGGGCCGCGGTAGAAGCCTTCCCGGGCGACGCGGATCTGTTCTTCTTCTGGGACGAAGTCGAGGTAGCCGCCTTGGTAGGGCCAGGTCTTGACGTCGTGCTCGACGCTGTACTGGTCGCCTGTCCTGACGCTTTTGACGGGCGGGTCGCAGAGGACGAGGCCTTGTGTGTATTAGCGAGGGTGTATGAGCATGGTGGTTTGCAGACTTACAGTCCCAGCCGCCGCCTTCGGTCCTCCAAGACCAAACGCCGCACTTCCTCCGTACAACACCCACGTCTAGGTAGTTGTCAATCTCATCAGGGGAGTTATCCCATCTGAAGTCTCTGGAAACACCAATGTGTCTTCCAGTAGCCGCGCAAACCCATCGGAAGCTCGTAGGTTTCCTATCGAAAGTCACAACCTCATAGTACTTCATTTCCAGGTGTCCCCGACTCTGGATGACAGACGGCAACTGCACGCCATCGCTCTCGCCCATCCAGTTCAAGTTGTGCACGACAACACGCTCGTGCTCCACGAAGAAGGACGGATGGAGCGAGAAGTGGTTTCCCAGAACGCTGGCAAAGCCCGGGCCGAGCCCCTCGACGATGTAGATGTTCTGGCGGCCGCGCTGCGAGGCCGTGTTGAGAAGGTGCGCCTCGAGCAGGGCCGGCTCGTCAAACTCTGCTTTCCTGGTGAACTTGCCGTTGTGCAGGCTCAGCTTGACGACTTTGACGTTGTGGTCGGTGAAGGCGATGCGCTGGGTGGTGGCCTTGGGGTCCCGCTGTCTGAGCCGCGGGTCGGAGAAAGAGAGCGACCTGACGAAGTTGAGGTATTCGCCGTCAGCTAGCCATGCTCCGTTTCTCTCCATGGCGGTGGAAGCAGATGCTCATTCCAGGCAGAAGATTGCGTGTAAATGGTAACGATGAGGAGAACGAAATCTATCAGGTCGTATAAGTCGGAACTCAAACGAGCCGGCACTCATGAAATGAAGCCATGGCTTGGTATTTATCTCATGAATCAAAGACACGCGACAAGGTGATTTCAGATCGGGGAGCAAGGCAGATGCAAAAGTGAAAGTTGACAGCAGCAGCCAAAAATCAGGCTGCGAAAAGTGGTATCTAATGACCGGTGGCCGAAAATGGATGAGAACGGTAGCCCGCCAGCCCTTTGGCCGTCGCCCGAAGCTCCTTGCCCGAATCGGGACACCGAGCGTGGCTTCGCTCTCACCTCCAAAAAGCCACTCGGATGCGACCCCTCCTTCTCTCTCCCTCGTCTCTCCCCTCACAACTCGCCCTGCACAAACGTGATCTCGTTCGCCTTGCCAGAGCGAACGCCCACCTCTCACCCTTCCCGCGCGATTTAATCGCTGGAAACACGAAGCCTCTGCGGCGCGGTTTGCAGCAAACACACTCGCCCTGCCCGCCCTGTTTACCATGGCCAGCTGACGGATGCCTGCTTCACTTCCCCGGAACTCTTGCTACTATTTTTGCGACATCATGTTCCAACTGCCGCTGGCGTGAGTTGGCTGCATTCCATGCATAGAAGGGCGGATTCCTTCTAGGCGTTATACGTAGTCTGCGCCTTCACCGCGTCGCCGACATTGATCCAGTCAAGCTTATTTCAGCCCCAGTCAGCAACGGTAATTTCGATGATCCGACGATGGCTGCCAGCCAACTCGGTGTCCAAGAGAGGATGTCCAACTTACCAGAATCACATTCGGTGTCTTCCCCCACATGCCTCTGCAGAGGTTGACCTGCTTGTCGATCGAGTCAAACGAGTTCGTCTTTCCCGCGTTGGCCAGGTCGGGGATCTTGACGCCAAAGATGTCAATGTTCAGGACGTGGTTGACGAGGTACATGCGCCCGTTCGGGTCGACGCCCTCTGGCCGATCAATGTTACACCGCGGGAAGTTCGAGTCCGTCTCGCCGTACGGCGTCTCCCAGAAATACTGGAACTCGTCGAGGATGTAGTCCACCTTGCTCGTGTCGGCGTGGTAGTCTGCTCTCGTCAGTTTCTCGGTCTCCCAATTATCCTAGATGCAGGTCTGCCGTACCCATGAAGACGACCAACCTCGTCCCATCGTCAATGAGTTTTTGAAGCGTGGGCCACTCGGCCACCTTCCCCTCGGGCCGGAGCACATATTTGTCGAGGCCCGTACTCTTGAACACGTCGTCGAACTGTTGCACGGGGATCGCGTCGATGTTGGTCAGAAGCAGAGTCACGACCTCGTCCGGGTGGGCGTTCATCCACTTGGTGATTGAGGTCAAGTAATCAGACAACGACCCGGCGTCCAGAATGAGGCAATCGGTATGACACATCTGAATGCCGCCATCCTTATTCTGCGTCTGGGCTTGCAGGAAGCGGACACCCAAGTCAAGCTGTGCCGTTGGCGAGACCAGCTGGTTGTCTGCGGGCCCGATGCCTACAAATGGGCTGTTGTGAGAACCGACAAAGGTCACCTCCGAGTACTTCTTCCCGCAGAGTGCATCGTTGCTATTGCAGGCGGCGGCGGCAAGGCCCGCAACAACGGGCAAGAAAAGAGCGGCGCGCATGGCGATAAAGATATTAATATTAGAGCAGGAAGAGGTATAGACACGACGTGGAGCATCTCAACACGACAGAGGCGGCGGCTATATAAACATAGATCTAGTTCGTATGTAAACACCGGCAGCCCAGCTGAATGGGGGTTTGGCGATAGCTTAAAGTGACATCTCGGACGAGCTGGCGAATCAGACGGCCAAACAGGCCAGTGTCAGCGCCTTCGCGGGGATGTTGGTGGCCACTCGGCCGGGCCATGAGAAGACTCTGGCTGGTCGAGGGCCGGAGTGATCCCTCTGGATGTAACTGCTCGACATGTGAGCGATGACACCCAAGACCGTTGTGTTTGCGGTCTGGGTGCCGTTGAAGTGACGGCTCGTGGTCCTGTGATTGGGTCACGGCATATTCCCGAGCTTCTTGATCGGTTGGGGCCAGACGGGGAGTTGCACTGGTTGCGGACATGAGATGCCTGTCAAGACGGGTGTCTTGCCACATGTATCCAGTTACTCAAGATGTGAGATGCAGAGCCACTTGTTCGCGCATGTAGGAAGAATCCAGCGGGAACGGGCGAGGAGGCCTCTGGGATGCAAAGGAGCAGGATGGGGGGGTTGTCCGAGGACATGTTGTTCCCAGTAGGCCATTAAAAGGGGGCATGAATGGCCATCATCCGCTGGCCCTCCTAATCGACTTCTTGCTGGTTATTGTAGGCTCGGATTTTGGGTCGAAGAGCGGCAGCATGGGTTTACTGCCGTATGGACGCCACACTTATGCTTGCTTGAAGACGATGGACCCCGCGGTGCTGTGTTGGCCGCCACCACCGGCAAGTGAAACGGCAGAGTCGACGAATGACGCTGTCGAAGACGTCCACGCGTGGTGGCGGTCATCAGGTCCAAGGCCGCTGAAGGGTCTCAAAGCAGGTCCCGAGGTGCGCTAACGTGGCTAGTCGCAGGGCCGCTCAGGGGACGAAAACAAGGTGTGGCAGGGGAGGGAGGCGCTGCGGGGTCTCATTGGCCCGATGCCTGGGGGTCGCTTGATTGCCCCGCCTGCGCTGCAGCTGTAGCGATGCAGGACGATCCATTTCCTTCATCCTGCCCTCTCTGGCAATGACCATTTTCCAACCCTCACCTCAACATCACGTACATGTTGGAGTGTGACCTCACCGTCGTGAACGCGACAGACGAGATGAACATGTCTCGACTCTTATCAAGTCCCAGTCCAACCTTGAGCAACGAAGCACACAGCAGACACCAAGCGCAGCACAACTAAGGCCTAGTCCCAGCTAAATGGTAGTCACCCGTGCTTCAGACGCTTTCTGTCACCCGTCATACTCAACGCCAGAAGTCAGTTCCCGCAACCACTTCGCGGCTGGCTTTGAAAGTGACAGGAACTCTGTCCTGGGCGGCAAGAGTCAAGACATCCGTTTGGCATTTATTGGGCTGCACCTTCTCTCTCAGCTTGCGTCCCAAGTTACGAACGCACGCACCAATAATGCCGTCGACATATAGCCCTTCAACACAGGGACGTCTGGACCAGCAGCACAATGCTGAATGACAATTATCGCGCCTAATGACAATCTTAACGGGATCATCATACGAAGAACCAAGCGCACGCGCGCTGTACGTCATATGCTCGTCGCAAAGGCAAAACGTCTTCAAGTGTATGCTCGTCATCTGGTGACCACGTTGAGGTCCTATCCGTCTCATTCTCGCAAAGAGAGAGGCGCAGCATCAGCTTGGGTCGTCGCCTTCGGACGAAGCAAGATGCTGCAACCTTACGAGCTAAACCTCGGATTCTCCTCGTACTCCGTACGCTAGACAAGACAACAGCTGAACCTGCACCATCATCTCATTTCCCATGAGAACAAGATCCACCACGAGAGGCAACCTAGAGGACGGTATCTATAGTGTCTCTAAACTGTCGCGCTACTGCCGTGCAACGACAATGTGCGAGCCTGATCTCGACTTGTGCCGTTTAAGTCTATGTTCCACGCCGCAGGGGCCGATACCTTGTGCCCATCTATTGCGCTGGATCAAGGTTATTCGATCCACGTGCGACATTTCGAGCCTCTAGGTCCAAATGGCTTGCGTCGAAATCTTCTAGCGCGCATCACAGTTCGAGTCACGCACTGGCCAGGCTCGTCGTCGAGACCAGGAACAGATGGCAAAGCCCAATCCGAGGCTGCCGTTGACGACGGCGTCGGGCGGTCACTCGTTCTCGCATTAACGCGGTGGTTCTGTTACGCCGCAAAGCTGTTCAGCCTCGCACAAAGATGGTCCGGCTCATCTCACCGAGACCGAGGCAGGCTTGTTATGTCATCGGGAAGGAGGAGCTGGTTGGGCTGTGGGGCGTGAAGCCGTTGACAACGTAGTACGGCGACGACGACGACATGCGGATTATGACAATTCATGAGACAACAAGCTCAGAGACGCTACGACCAGGCGGGTTGCGAGGTGTCACCAAACTAAACAACTCAGAATGCGACCCCATCGAGGGTGCAGATTTTTTCACCTGTGTGTCGGAGGGCAGCAATGCAGGCCTGCACAGCCCTCAGAGCAAGCATGGACGACGATCGACGTCAGCCGGATTTGGTTATGCTTGCTTCCAACCGCGTGGGATGCCCGGCAGATCTGCCCCCTCCTCCCTCAATCCGCGCCTCCACCTCCACCTTCACCTCAGGTCGCGGGTTTCTTCGTCGGCTAAACCGTGAGGTCAGGGAAACCCGCAAGAGAGTGAGGGCAAGCACTGGCAAGGTAGGGAGGAGGGAAACAACCGTGCGCGTGCTGACGAAACATGGAATTCCTCCGACATCCGAGTTCGTTGTAGAGAGTTTCTGCCAAGCACTGTCAACTGCTGGCCCAAGGCTTGTCACAACCCGAGTCGAGACGGCATGCGATTGCCGAGCTTTCATCCCGCCTTGCTGTTCCTGCCAAGTCATGTCAGCGGCCGGCTGGCAATGTCACCGTCATTGGCGCCTCCGACGATGGGTTCGGAAGTTTTGCGTCCTTGGGTCTTCATCACGAATCCACGAGAGCGAGGCTTCATGATGAAGGTCTAACCACCCATCCGGCCCCGTATTGTTATGGGGAAGAGAACCACAATTCAAGCCTTTCCCGTTTTCTTTCCGAAAACCGAAACGATGGGCGGAGCCCCCGATAAGCTCGTTGCTCGTTGGGGCTCTCTCGACTTCCACCAGATATCTCCTCGGCCTCTTACGCAGGCCCGGCCGTGGTGAGTCGAACTGTGTCGAGCGAGACGGGGCCTTTACCAAAGGGGGCATGGCGTCGCCGCTCTCCCGTACTCGCGAATGGAGCATCCAGGGGCGACGCCCACTTACCTGACCGGAGCTTCCTGGTCACGAACGGAGACGCTGCTCAAATCCGCGATGTTTTGCCCCGTCTCAACCTCACCAGAAGAAATCAGTCAGCGCACGCAGCTTGGCCCGAGCTCGCTGGCGCTGGACCAGCAACCTCACACGCCTCACGTTTTAGGATCGACACCATCCTAGCGTCGTTCTCAAATCTTTTCACCTGAAGAGATGGGATTGCCCTTGTTGTTCCCAGGAACGCTCCCGCCGCTAAACCTTGTCCAGCAACCTCGTCACCCTCATCGACGCCGAGCCCCAAACCAGCCGTGGAGAAGGCGTTTAGCCTTACTCCTGAGAAGCGTGGAAGCCGTCGTAGCTCCCCCACAACCGTGATTTTCAGAGATCTACCTATCGGAAGCCAGATCGCCAACAGCTCGTCATGCATGAACCTGTCCTGGCCGTCTTTGCCGAGTAAACCAGCCTGCGCGGGACCACTTGCTCACCTCTTCCCAGTGGCGTTTCTCGTCCCTCCTGGTCATCGCTCCTCAGGACCCGCAGGGCCCCTCGAAACGGGTTTCCAAGCCAATCGCATCTTCAGAAACCTCGTCTTCGAGCGAGAACACAGCCCGTGTCGTCCAGTCGTCAGATCAATGCCTCGACTGATCTTTTCGTGAGAGAAGCCAGCGCCAACATGCCTCACACTCACTCGCTGGAAGCGCGGCCATCGAGGAATCCCTGGCCCTTGGGAACTGAGGCCCGTGTTTGCCAAGCCCCATCAACTGTCTTCCAAGACGGTCCAAGACCTGTCATCCAGTCTGTCGAGAACTTGTATAAGAATCACACGCATATCCGGCCAAACCTTCTCGATCTTACTTGCCTCTCATCAGCATCTCATCAACACTTCAGCCTTTTCTCTTCATCTGCCTTTCTTTTCCACAAGAGCCCGGAGCTCCTTGACAGTCTATTGCATCAATAATAATCAGCCTCTTATTCAAGACTCAACTTTCACCAATCTTCCCAACCGCCAAGATGAAGTACGCCTCCACCATCCTCCTCGCGGCTTTCGCTGCCACCAACGTCTTTGCCCACGGTGTCATCGACAGTGTTCAGGGTGCCAACGGTGTCAACCTGCCCGGTCTCTCTTGTAAGTCACTCGCTCGTTTCTATCTCTGATATCTCAATCTCACATAAACACAGTGATCGACGGCACTCCTCGTGACTGCGCATCTCCCCGCTGCGGCTCCGAGGCCGACACCTCCATCATCCGCGACCGCGAGATGGGCACCGACCGCGCTTCCGCCCTAGGCCGCACCCAGGGCGGCGGCCCCGTCGACGCCGCCACCATGGTTGGTCAGTTCATGAACGGCGCTGCCGGCAACACCACCGCCGTCAAGAAGGCCCGCGAGATCCACGAGGCCAACATGGCCCGCCGCTCTCTCGTCGCCCGCCAGGCCGGCAAGGGCACCAAGACCCCCAAGGGCACCGCCGAGACCGCCGTCAAGGCCGCCACCGGCATGGCCGCCCAGGCGGGCATGCCCACCACCGCCGACGACGGCACCCTCAAGATGACATTCCACCAGGTCAACCAGGACGGCGCTGGCCCCCTCAAGGCTGACGTCGACGGCACCTCGGGCGGCACCGACCCCTCCGCCTTCAAGACCGCCGAGGTCACCCAGAACGTCCCGGGTATCGGCATCGGCGGCCTGTCCGGCGCCTCCACCATGGACTTCCCCGTCGCTATCAAGATGCCCGCGGGCATGACCTGTGACGCCAACGTCGGCGGCGCCAGCAACGTTTGCGTCGCCCGCCTGCGCAACGCCGCGCTCGCCGGTCCCTTCGGTGGCTCCGTCGCCTTCACCCAGTCCGCCACTGCCCGCAAGCGCGCCGTTGAGTACAACCTCGCCAAGCGCCGCGCCGCCCGCTCTTTCCAGGCCTAAATATGCTGATCTTAGTCTGCATGGGCATCGGGAAACGGTAGTCACCACAAGGAGCTAGGAACACAAACAACAACAAATTGCCTTCGTTTTTCCGTCGGTCTTCTTTTCTCAGTGCCATATCTGCGATATGGGCGGGGATGAAGAACAGCCGGCGGGAGGGATACAGCACAAGGAGGATTTGACTTTCTCATTTCTCTCTCTCTCAAGATTGTATCATTTTCTTTCAAACGTCACTCAGTGATATCCTGTGGATAGTACTTGGGGGGAGACTTCTTTTTTCAGATTTTTGTGTATAATCCCTGCTACCCTTACCTTAGAAGTGTTGATGAACAAAATAACGATGCTTGATGGTTCTTGAAAAAACTTGGCTTTTCCTTGGCGAATGCTTGTGATGAGTGATATGATAATTGGACTTAACTTATTGGGCTGTTCTCAGGCATTCTCTTGCCTTACACAGACATCCTGGCACTTGGGGGGAGTTGGGACTTGACTGACGTCTTCTTTTGGAAGAGAGAGGGTTGTAGGTGTGGGGGGGTAACCCTGGCCTTGGCGTGAAACGTCAAGGCCCGCCGACATGCTACGACTTGGACGGCAGCCGCAGACAAGGGGGGACCACCCCTCCTCCTCGGGGGTTTTGGTGGGTAGTAATGTGTAGATCCATTCGGGATATTCTTTCTGAGATTTACCACCTCGCGTACGCGGCTGCATCCTCGGTGAGGTTACAGAAATCCATGCTTGCATTTTGATGGGGCTAGGAAGTATGTAAACTAACATCGCGAGCGAGGCGGGAAAAGGCGCAAAGGGTGAGTTTGGTGCAGAACGGGAGAATTCTCGGTGTCCCCTCGCCCCAAGATTCCGCGTCATCTGAAGTCTTTCCACATCGTGTCACGAGTGGGAGTCAGAAAGGGTGACGTTTGACGCGATTCCCGGAGATGCTGCGAGTGCTGATGGAAGGGTGTGGTGTGGTGTGGTGTGCGGCGGGTAGCATAGCATGGCATTTTGGGAAACACCACGGTGAATGGTTTTGAGTTTGATGGTGTTGGGCTGGAAGTTGTTCGTGGTGGTGTGTACGGGACAACGGACAGAGTTTCCGCGGAGATAGGGGTCTAGCAGCACACACGCACGCCCGTATTGCACGTACGCACGTTTTCCGCCTCATTTTCTTTTCGTCATCCCGTATCTGCGACGAGGGAGCTGGGCTCTTGGCTTCCGAATGTTCTGGTTCCGGGAGACGCTGCGTTTTGCCCGGGGGTTGTTGTGGCCGGAGATGCTGTTTTGTCGGCGGAGGAGTGTGGCTTGCTTGGAGATTTGGGGATGTGCGGTGATGGGTGATGAGGATGAGGTTGTGGAATTGGGGACTGCACTTGCAGTAAATCATTGCTTGACTTTCTTTCACTTCAATGGTCCGGAAGACATTTTGCAGATGCCACATGCGTCCGGCAGCAAGCCAACGGGTCCTCCCGCACGCCACAAGAAATTTCAGGAACCCGCGACTCAGATTAGACCGGCCAGAACTTGGGCGGATGAAGAGCGGCTGGGAGGCGGTACTCGGTGCGGCTTGAACAAAGTTCCCTCGGCGCATTTGTCGTTCTCCGGACCCAAAGCGGCCGGGCAAGAGGGCCCGACACTCCGACCCGGCGGAGTTGGGGGTGCAGGGAGAGTGCTGGGAGGACCGGAGTTAGACAGGACAGACCGGATGCCAAGTGCTAATCGGTCTACGTGCGAAACCCCCGAGATTGCCGCGGCTTATTCTTCATCACCAGTCTAGTCATATCATTTCCTCGCAACTTGTGCATGATCTACGAGAAGGTCATACAATGAAGAAGATCATCGAACGTGAAAAACTAGCGGTCAAGCACGGGAAGGAAGAAGCAAACGCCCTCCCAAGACACTAGATATGTCGCTCTCACGGATCAACGCAGCGCGAGCGGTAGGTCGGGGGAAGAATACGCGCAAAAAATGCACTTACAGGTTCTCCGGGTTGCGGCGTTGTTCGTCACGGCGATGATTTGTGTGGTTGAAGAAAATAGTGGGGGGGTTGTTTTTCGTGCCTGCATTGCATGGTGCGCTGGCCCCCCAGGGAGCCATTCGCGAGGGACAGGGGACGAGGTGCAGGAACAGCCTGGCGGAAGGGACAGCCGAGATGGAGGGTGTTATGGGCGGTTTCTTGGGATGCCAAGGAGATGGAAGGCTGGGCGTTCGGTTTTCGAGAGGATTATGTACAATGTTTCCATTTCTGGTCTATCTGCTTTTCTTGGAATCATGGACTACATTCTCAAGAGATGGAGGATGTCCCGTGCAGGACAGAGGCGGACAACCATGAAGATGCCTCATTTCAGCCGTCAAGGTGCTCACCAGAGACCACCGCCTGAAGCGAGGTTCCCGCATGCCCCACATCCAGCCGAACAACCCGCAATCCGCGCCTCCGAGGTCGCCGGGGGACGGAATCCAATCAGGCGGTCCAGTGGGCCGCCCTGGGTAAGGTAGCCCCTCCTTCCTATGTCGGCCAGGCGGCCCCCAACGTCTTTTCCCCCTGCTTTTTGGGGGAGGAGGAAACGAAAGGGCCCCGCCATTCCGCTGTGTGTGTGACACGAGACCAGCTGTCCCCCAGGCGGACTACCTGGAGAGAAAGGATTCTGTTGGGGCAAGTTATGCTGCCCTCATATGGATCCTCCTGAAAATTCTCAATGCATATCGAAAGTTGTGTTATTAGGACTTGCTGGGGGAAAAAAAGGAAAAGAATGAAAGCATTCGTCCTATTGCAGACACGGGCCCGGGCCTGTCATGCGGGGGGTTCACTTTTCGGGTGTGGTGTGGCTTGGAGATAAGAGACAGCTATCAGCTTCCACGAACATGTGAAAACCATGCAGTTCATCCCGTCGTCGGATTAATCGCAACCACCAAAAAAAATCCAAAAAGAACAGATCATACACTGAATGATGTCTTCCATCTGTGCAACTTCATAGCTTCTTCAACAGAGCGTCGAGCACGAGATCACATTCATCCCCGTCCAACTTGCTCTCTTCCCTACAATCCAATCTCAATCCCGAAGTCACCAAAACTCAAAGCATCCTCTGCCGTGTGTAAGTTGAACTTCCCACGCTGCACTGTCCGCCGCCAGGTACGCGTAAACAACAACAATCCACGTTCCTTCTTCCCGCTCCAATGCCGTGATTAGAACCACCGTCTCGCATAGAGCCTTTCCCTCGTAATCCCGCAGAAGTACACTTATTATGCCCTCCGGTCATCTTCCGTCCAAACAACCACCCCGCCAAGCCCGCCCGTCCGCGTTATCTAGAAGCCAAGCACCCCCCTCTAGCGGCGCTGCAGAAGAAATAGGGCTCCACATCGTCATCACAACCGGCGCGCCGCCTCACACCGCTTGACAGCTTGCAGCGTTTTGTCTGTGTGTACAGTGTACCTACCCAGAGCTGCAGGACGTGTAATCGTTAGCTTAGCTTAGCTTACTCTGCGTTATCCCTCCCCCACGCTCCGCACTCCATCCATTGTCTCTCCGCCCCCAGTTCCACCGACACGCGCGGCTTTCCTGCACCCAGCCGAGCCCCCGACGTCCCGAAGTGACACTATTTGAACGCCTCTCAACCCCGTCCACGCCCGCTTCGCATCTCACCTCTTCTCTTCTTCTTCTTCTTCATCCTGAATATTAACAGTCTCCTACAGACAGCAGAAAAAGGACACCGCAATCTCACAACCTACCTCCAACTAACAAACCTAACCAAACCATCTGATCGCGCTTACGGGTCGCGATCGCCCACGTCGTCAAGACGTTTTCCAACCTCCTCAACTCGTGAGTCTTTCTTCTTCACGATGAATTCACTCGAGACACCAGAGCTAACGACATACACCAGGGTCCATCATCCGTACGCAGGAGCCCGCTGCTCTGCCGCCCCGGGGGGTTCAGCGGACTCGGCCTTTGATCTCTAAAGGCCTCTAGCTAACCAAGCCAAACCAACCTATCTGCCTGAACCTTTGAAAACCCAACACCCAAACCCCCCAATTCTACCTCGGGCTCTGACAAAACATGGCTCCCCATGCAGAGGTAGACGCGGGCTCCGCGCACGGAGACGGACCCCTTCCCCCCACCGGCAACGGAGCCGCCGCCGGTGGCCACGCCCGCGAGCTCTTCACCGTAAACTCCCCCAACGTCGTCTACAACGACACAGAGATCCTGTCAAAGTACACCTACCGCACCACCAAGGTCTCGCAGGACGCCAATGGCAAGTACGTCGCCACCCCGACCGAGACGCTCTACGAGTTCAAGACGGAGCGCAAGGTCCCCCGCGTCGGCATGATGCTCGTCGGGTGGGGCGGCAACAACGGCACGACCGTCACCGCCGGCATCCTCGCCAACCGCCGCGGTTTGACCTGGGACACGCGCGAGGGCGCCCGCGCCGCCAATTACTACGGCTCCGTGATCATGGGTTCGACCGTCAAGCTGGGCACGGACGCCGCGACGGCCAAGGACGTGAATATTCCGTTCCACGACCTGCTGCCGATGGTGCACCCGAACGACCTCGCCATCGGCGGGTGGGACATTAGCGGGATGAACCTGGCCGCGGCGATGGACCGGGCGCAGGTGCTGGAGCCGACGCTCAAGGCGCAGGTCAAGAAGGAGATGGGGGAGATGGTCCCGCTGCCGAGCATTTACTACCCCGACTTCATCGCCGCCAACCAGGAGGACCGGGCCGACAATGTGCTCCCCGGGACGAAGGCCTGCATGGCTCATGTTGAGCAGATCCGCAAGGATATCCGGTGAGTGTGCTGTGAGAGTCAGTGAAGGATATATGACTAACATGGCGAAGCAACTTCAAGGAGGCCAACGGCCTTGACAAGGTTATTGTGCAGTGGACCGCCAACACCGAGCGCTACGCCGACATCATCCCGGGCGTCAACGACACCGCCGACAACCTGCTCAAGGCCATTGAGGAGGGCCACGAGGAGGTGTCCCCGTCCACCGTCTTCTCCGTTGCCTGCACGCTCGAGGGCGTGCCCTTCATCAACGGCTCCCCGCAAAACACCTTCGTCCCCGGCGCCATCGAGCTGGCCGAGAAGCACGGGGCCTTCATCGGCGGCGACGACTTCAAGTCGGGGCAGACCAAGATGAAGTCGGCGCTGGTCGACTTCCTCATCAACGCGGGCATCAAGCTGACGTCCATCGCAAGCTATAACCACCTCGGCAACAACGACGGGAAGAACCTCAGCTCGCACAAGCAGTTCCGGTCCAAGGAGATCTCCAAGTCCAACGTGGTCGACGACATGGTGGAGGCCAACACGGTGCTGTACAAGGAGGGCGAGCACCCGGACCACACGGTGGTGATCAAGTACATGCCGGCGGTGGGCGACAACAAGCGCGCGCTCGACGAGTACTACGCCGAGATCTTCATGGGCGGGCACCAGACCATCTCGCTCTTCAACGTGTGCGAGGATTCGCTGCTGGCGTCGCCGCTCATCATCGACCTCGTGCTCGTCGCGGAGATGATGACGCGCATCCAGTGGAAGGCCGTCTCGTCGGACGGTGCCGCGACCAAGGACTTCAAGGGCTTCCACAGCGTGCTTAGCATCCTGAGCTACATGCTCAAGGCGCCGATGACGCCGCCCGGTACGCCCGTCGTCAACGCGCTCGGCAAGCAGCGCGCCGCGCTGACCAATATCTTCCGTGCCTGCGTCGGTCTCGAGCCCGAGTCCGAGATGACGCTGGAGCACAAACTGTTCTAGGTCAGAGATCGTACGATCATCGTGGACGGATTGCCGTCGAAATCTTGCCGTTCTTTCCATGCCCACGTGGGCTGGCAACCTTGTTTTGCGTCTTTCACATTGGAGGTTCCTCACCGGCCCCAGCCCCTCTCTAGGTACTCATGTTGATGGAGGTAAATGTTAGTATGCGCGATAAAAACCAAACCAAATATAGTCACAGTCCCTACCGCAAAACGTCTCACATGTCGTAGAGTTTGTCGTGATCGCGTAGCGGTGAAGGATGCTGGTGAGCTTGCGTATTCGTCCTATATCGACGGAGCCAAAACTCCTGCGCGTCGAGGAGCAGAAACTTTGTTTTGCGAGTATGAACCTGGGCCTGTCCTGTCGACCACATGTTTTGCGCGGTGGTAGGTGTGATGTGCTGGTCCGCGATACGTCGAAGAGACGATGGTGGACGGCGGCAGGCGCATTGAAACGGATGGGACGAAGGCCAATCAGCACGTTGGGGACGGCCATGGCCCAGACGCACCGTTCGTCATGAAGGCCGTCGACAGGGCAGGGCCTTCTGGCTTTGGTGTTCTGCTATGGTCGATTAGTGAGGCACGGCAGAGCACGGTAAATCTTGACCCTCGTCGATGCCGTTCGCTCGGTTGTGGTCGCAAATTCTGGAGAAACCTGGAGAAGCGCTGGGGACCCGGTCGATTGGTGATTTGCGACATGTCGGTGCACACGTAGCCTTGCACCAAACCGCCTGTCAGCCCACAGATTCCATCATCATCAATCGTCATTTTTTTCTCTTTCCCTCCGAAGCGAGGACGGGGGATGACGATTGACTGCATGGCAACAGGAAAAAAGCGGATAGCAGGGAAATGAGGTGGTCTCGGCCTTGCTCTTCTCGTCAAAGACTCGACAGCGGCGCAATTTAGCTGCGGGCTGCAGGTTGCGGGTCTCCCCCTCCCACCCCTCCAAAAGCTAAAATTCGAAAAAGCAACGTCGGTGGAGCTGGAGTCCTGGAGCAGCTTCAGCCAGGGGGTGGCAACGGCACCATTCAGGGCAACTGAGGACTAAAGCGCGGTCTGTCATTGGCGGGCGGGTAGATGAATCAGCACCCGTCTTGCGCTAGCGCCCCCTGGGGAGAGGGACGGGGTGTCCACGAGTGTCGTGGATGTCAACAACGTTCATTGTTCCCTGCTCGGCCGTGCCTGATCTGCCCAGACGGTTGCTGGGGTCGTGCTGGTCTCGAAATTACTGCCATTTTTGGTGGTAAAGCAAAGGTACGGACACTTTTGGCGGGCAGAGCGACACTGACACTACGCTCTGAACGTAGCGCTGCCAGAGAGGGAGGGGAGGGAGCCCTTACCAAGGAGTCAGGACTTGCGCTTTGTATGGTTCGCCCGTCTGAGCATGCCAAGACCCAAGACCTGCCCGTAAAGAAAGGGCACATGTCGTCCCTTCCCGCTTGTATCGCTCGATGGGGGAGCAATCTGCGTTGCCCTGCTCCTTCTGTCTCCTTCCTCTGTTCGTTACGCTACTCTTGTGATCTTTCTCCCTTCTTAATCCCCCTCCGTCGTCCACTTCCTTAACACTACGTTCTGACGACGAATTGCGATTGAGGGCGACGAGGCGTACAAGCCGTACGACGACACCACACGCGCGCCACGATGTTGTTCTCGAAATTTGGGCGCACTGCCCTTGCTGCAGGTTAGTGGCATTCTACTACTGCTTACTCCCGCGATCCCGCATTGGCGACCCTCAGAGACATGCAATCCTTCCTATCCCCAGCAGGTCGTCATACAGCTCGCATCCCCAAAGTGGCACAGTCGCCATGGACGGCTTCACCAGCTGTGCGAACCCTAGCTAATCATGCGTCCACTACAGTTGCGCTGGCCACTCCCTCTTTCGCCGCAGACACCTCAGACAAGACCGACCTTGGACAGTCAACCTTTGTCGCCCCCGAAAACAACGTGGCCTTCGGCTTCACGGTCCCAGAGAACAGCGGCGAAGATGTCTTCATCACCATCCGCGCCCCGATCGACAGACAGTGGGCGGCCATCGGTCTCGGCCAGACCCAGATGGCGGGCAGCTTGATCCTGATGATCTACCGCGACGAGACGGGAAACAACGTCACCTTCTCCCCGCGCGTTGCCTACGGAAATTACGAGCCCTCATACTACGACCACGTCACCTGGGATGTCCTCCCTGGCACCGGCGTTTTCAACGGTTCAATGTACTTCAGCGCGCGGTGCACCGCACACTGCAGGAACTGGCCGGGTGGTTATGTCGATGTGTCAAGTGAGACGCAAAAGGCCATCTATGCCGTGGGACCCCAGGGAGGCTTCTTCTCGAGCAAGATCGACTCGTCGGTCAAGTTTCATGAAGAGTTTGGCCGATTTACCATCAACATGAAGCGCACGATTGGTCCGGGAGACGCTCCCGCTCTCAAGGATGATGCGGTCAACGAGGGAACGGCGCAAATCGACGCCTATGACGGAAAGCGGGATCTGAAGTCCATCTTCCATGCACTGATGATGGTCGGCGCCTTGGTCTTCCTGATGCCCGTCGGCGTGGTGCTTCTGCGTTTGGGCGACAAGGTGAGGTGGCATGGCCTGAACCAGGGTGTAGCACTGCTGCTCGTCATCATTGGCTTCGTTTTGGGTGTCCTGACCAGCTTCTGGTACAACCGTGTAAGTCGTGGCTCTCGCCTGATGGAGAATTCTACTGACGTAAGCCCAGTCTCGCGGCTTCACCTCTGCGCACCAGATTATTGGTTTGATAGTTGTCGGTTTCTGCTTTGGTCAATTTGCCCTTGGCTTCCTGCACCACTCCCATTTCAAGAAGACGGGCGAAACAACGACCATGAAGCCGATTCACGTATGGCTGGGCCGTATCATAATCGGTCTCGGCACCTTCAATGCCTTCCTGTATGTCTGTGCGCAATTAGTCGCCGCTGTCAGTCAGCTAACCTAGCGTAGTGGCTTCTCCTTCGCGCTGAACCGCAAGTTTAACTACTTCCTTGCCGGTCTGATCCTCCTGCTCATCGCCATCTCCATCTTCTTCACCTTCGGCCGGACGTGGAGGCGCCGTCGTAACGGCGTCTCAAAGTTCGGAAGAGAACCGGGCGGCTACAACCCGGAGCCGTGGCGACAGACCCCCACGCACGGCGGCTACTCGTACGCGGGCGCTCCGCCTGCCTACCAGCCGCCGTCACACCAGAACATTGGCCTGACGAGCATGGTCGCGGACCCGGCGCAGCCGACTAAGGAGCGAAGCAACAGCCGCGATTATCGGGCGAACGAGCTTGGCTCAGCCCACCAGCCTCGAGAGATGGTGTAAATCAGACGCGATCGGGTGGTGAGGGTTGTCAAATGTTCCCATTCAAATGTTCCCATTTCGGCGTTACAAGCTTGGGTGGGACGAAACTGAATAAAAGGCGATCGCCGGTCTGGATTCTGAGGTTCTGCTTTGCGCTCGCGTTGAAGCGTTTTGTACATGTAATGTTTTGGTACAGGGCTTCGACTGGTAAAGAACCAGGAAGCCCTTTGAATGACGAACACGAACGTTGTCGAACGTTGACAGCGCATCGTCTGTGATGCTAGGTTGTGAGTGATGGAAGATGCTAAGTTCTAGCCGGGCGTCATTGGACTGGCCAGCATTGACGACGGCGGGCATCGGCACCGACTCGGCAGATTGCGACATCGAACTGTGGCCGGTAAGTGGGGCAGTCTTCGTCAAGTTTGAGATGGGACTGACGTGCAGTTTGCTGCATGCAGTGCCCTTTCGCTGCAGAAGATGCAATCAAATAGAAAAAGGGTTTTGACATGATGCGTATTGATCGAAACCTTTGGGTCCGCAGATGCCGCCGACCGGAGATGGTCGGGAGGCTCCGCAACCGTAAACTAAACGGCCGTTAGTTCCCCAGAATTCCCGACTTCAACGGCGACGAGAAAAGGACGGAGACCGCCCGCTTGGCCGGCGCCGTGATCGGCTTTGGTGGGGGTGTGTCGCCACTTTTCTTTGCGTCCTGCCTGCCAACCTGTCGCGAGGCGGTATGCACTTGACGAGAAAAGTCTGCAACGTTAATTGAACCCGGCGTTAAGACGATTTCTTTGCTGGCGGGAGAGATCAGAAGTGCTGACTCTTGTTGCAAGCTTTCCCTTGGTTGACGGCACGCGCTTTCCGTTTCGTTTGATACCAGTCGTGGGCTTACCCGACCCCGGCTCCATCCCGTCCCGTCGCAGATCGGGGTTTTGCCGATGGGGAAGGACCTCCCCATTAGAACATCTTGTTGCCTCTTTTGTACCCGTCAATCTTTCTTCTTGCATCCTCATTACAACTTAGAGCCTCAACATCATTCGTGTAGTGCTTAGATCGACGTCGTTCATTGCCCGAATAGATTCCTGCAGCAGTAGTCAGACGTGCCTATCTGCCGCAGCTCGCATACGCATCGTCCGCATCCACCACCACCTCGACGGCAGGCCATGCCGCCGCGCACGGAAGACGAGCCGGTGTTGACACCGCCATATCACGACGATGCCGACTCCGAACGAGAGGAGGAATCCGACGATGAAGGTGAAGAGGCGCGCATGCTGAGGACTCTCGATGGGTCCGGGCCTGAAGTTGAGGCTGCCCCTGGCGCGGCGCTCTCACACCCGCGAGAGGAGGAGGAGCTGCTCAAGCCGCCCGAGAAGCCCAAGCCCATCGCGTGGCGCGATCTGCCGCAGAAGCAGCAGTTGTTGGTCATTACGCTTACGAGGTTGAGTGAGCCGCTGGTGCAGACTTCACTACAGGTTCGTCCCTCTCATTCTAACCCAGCTCTCATGTCAAGCCTCATATGAGATTCAAGTCTTGGCAAGATAATGAACACGAAATGTTGCTAACCCACTCCACAGTCCTACATGTTCTACCAACTTAAGTGGTTCGACCCGACGCTCCCGGACTCGGTCATCTCCTCCCAGGCCGGCATCCTCCACGCCTCCTTCACCGCAGCCCAGTTCATCACAGCCATGATCTGGGGCCGCCTCGCCGACTCGAAGCGTTTCGGCCGCAAGACCGTCCTCATGATCGGCCTCCTCGGCACCTGCCTGTCGTGCGTCGGCTTCGGCTTCTCCCAGAGCTTCGCGCAGGCCCTCTTCTTCCGCTGCATCGGCGGCGCCACCAACGGCAATGTCGGCGTCCTCCGGACCATGATAAGCGAAATCGTCCGTGAGAAGAAGTTCCAGGCCCGCGCCTTCATCCTGCTGCCGATGACCTTCAACATCGGCGTCATCATCGGGCCCATCCTCGGCGGCATCCTCTCCGACCCCGCCGGCAGCTACCCGGGCCTTTTCGGCGACGTCGAGTTCTTCAAGAAGTACCCCTACGCGACGCCGAACCTGCTGAGCGCTGTGTTCCTCTCGTGCGCGGCGTTGAGCGTGTGGCTGTGCCTTGACGAGACGCTCGACGCCCTCCGCGAAGAGGGCCCGGACCCGGGACGCCGCCTCGGCTCGAGCATCGCGAACCTCCTCCGCAGAGTCTGGGCCCGGCTCCGCCACGGCCGCCGCGGCGCGATAAGACTCGACGACGCGGCCTACGCCCAGCTGCAGTCCAGCTCCGCCAGCAGCACCGACGTCGAAATGTCCCCCGAACACCCCGCACCCAACAAGAGACCCAAGCCGCGGTACACCCACCGCCTACCCTTCCGGCGCATCTTCACCCGCAACGTCGTCATGACCTTCTCCGCGCACTTCTTCCTCGCCTTCCACGTCGGCACCTTCAACGCGCTCTGGTTCGTCTTCCTCTCCACGCCCACCTCGACCTCCCCGCCGCACCTCCCCTTCCGCTTCACCGGCGGGCTGGGCATGCCCCCGCAGAGCGTCGGCCTCGCCATGGCCATCCTCGGCGTCATCGGCATCACCCTCCAGCTCTTCGTGTACCCGCGCCTCTCCGCGCGCCTCGGCACCGTCCGCGCGTGGCGGCTGTTCCTCTACTTCTTCCCGCTGACGTACTTCCTCGTGCCGTACCTCTCGGTGGTGCCGACCACGCCTTCCGCGCCGCCGCCGGGGCCGAAAGGCGGGCCGGCGATCTGGTTCGCCATCGTGGGCGTGCTGCTGTTCCAGGTGCTGGGGCGCACGTTCGCGCTGCCGGGGCAGACGATCCTGATCAACAACTGCACGCCGCACCCGAGCGTGCTGGGCACGATACACGGGCTGGGCCAGAGCGTGAGCAGCGCGGCGCGGACGATCGGGCCGGTGCTGTGCGGGTGGCTGTACGGGCAGGGCCTGGCGGGCGGGGTGGTCGGCGCGGTGTGGTGGGGGTTGGCGGGGGTGGCGGTGTTGGGGGTGCTGGCGAGCTGGGTTGTGTGGGAGGGGGATGGGCATGAGATTGTGTTGGAGGGGGATGAGGAGGAGGAGGAGGTTAGGTGAGAGAAGGGGGTCGGTATAGATACGGGTAATGACTATGGATAGACATTAATTCTTAGTATTTTCTGGTGCGATGGTTGTGTGCTGGGTGCAAGTGTGATGTTTGGTTTCCTGAATGGTTCAGCGGCTGTGATGAGGATGTTGTGCAAGGGGTATATAAACTACGCAGTGATTGCTAGATGTGGCATTTCAACCCAAGCCGAATGTGGGCGGTTCTTTGTCTATTTCAAGGTTTTGACCAAGCTGGCAGACTTGGCTCTACTAGGTCAGAACCTTTGGTTGAGCAGTGGGCAACCACGTTGAAAAGGCGAGAGTTGACCGTCATCGTGCGTGTGAATACTCAAAGACCATTCCACAGCAGAGGTGAAGAGCACCGTCGAGGAAACGGTGCTCTGTGATACTCGAGGGAGATTTGACCACAGATTTGTGGAGATGTGGGAGGCGGCGACGGGCACGACATCGGAATCCGAGTTCTCATTTCGCTTTGCCGCTGCTCGCCGCGCTGTTGCTGGTTTGAATCTACTTTACTATGATAGGTGGATGTGTTTATATCCATCATGGAGCCGCTGTTATGCCGCGCGTGATGAGCGAGGCGATGGTGGGGATTGTATATATATACAAAATGTTTGGTGGTGGTTTCTGTGGTGGCACGACAGATAATGCATTTTGAAGGTTGTTTCTGGAATGGATATGCGGGATTGCCCCGGCTTCAGGGTCTTGGTGATGATATTGGACCGGCTTATCGTCGAAGACTAGCTTGAGGGTTGATTTTATTTTGCCGGCCTCGACCTTTGTCTTTGGCTTATTCGATGGTGAAGCTGGGCAAGGATGAGTATGGGTGTGAATGTCAGGGGAGCATTGGGAAATTGATATATATGTGTGTGTAGAGAATGAAGAGGGCCAAGTAGTGAGGCAGCAGAGGAATCATCGCCGTCTTCTGACCCACTATTCTCTGGTTTGTTTTTGTTGTTTCTCTTCGCACGACTGGGTATTTATACCCGTCTTGAACCTGAGCTTGTACCGTGCGTGTGTGGTAGGTCCCAGAGCTTGATATGAAACTTTTGTTTGTTTGTTTTGAGTGATAAGTCTGGTGGCAGCAGAACGACAATCGAGACTTCGTTCGAAGGAGTGGTGCCGTTCTCTGGGCCTCATGCTGTGGACGTCTCCTTGCTTTGAGGGTTGTTGAGGTGTGGTCTCTCATTTGAAGTAAAAGACCACACTTGAAGGAGTTTGAAGGGGGAGACGAAGTTTGAAGTTATGGTTCTGTGACCTCTCTATTGGAGGAAGAGAGTCCCATCCAAGGAATGGAATAAGTGGTTGTGGTGTTACGGGGAGAAGGTATCTGGGCTCTGGAAGGCGACTCGTATTCTTCTTTGAATATCTCCTATGTTGGTCTATAGAGGTGTCTCTAGCCCGGTCCACGCGGGCCTCGTAAATACACTTATAGAGAAGCTGGAAACTTGTACCCGTAGGCTGGTAACCTGCTAAATACGAAGGCATAACCAAAAGTTGAAACGAGGGGGGAACCATTAAGAGGGTGCTTCGTAAAGAATGAGGGAGCGCAGGGATGAATGGAGCTGGAGACCGTAGGAAACACCGCAACCAAATTCAACCCTCATTTAATCTGCTCCGATTGTTTCTCTCGTATTTTTGCGCAAGTTCAGATACTTATATCGATGACGATGCGGATATTCCGAGAGGAGCAGATTATGAGAGCTTGGTAAAGGCAATCACGACTGTTACATGTGCGTGCGGACATGTGGCATGACATTGGTCAAGATCACGGGCAGTATCACTCGCCCGTCCGCCTCTATCAGACCAAGATAGAACATGCGTCTACTGGAGGGTTGTATTATTTAAGTTCAACAGGTTGACGGGGTACATTCGAAATCTCAACCCCAGCAAATGCTGCGCCCGGGCATTGTTGCGAAATGTCCCGTGACTTGAGAACGTGCTGCATTGTCCTGCTTGCGTAGAGATTTATCACACTCTGGGTTACCTACGACTGATCATCATGGTGGTATTCAACGCTAATCATTCGTCCTCTATCGCCGTTTTTCAAGTTCTGCAGTGTATCAGTGAATGTAACAGTGAAGGAACGAGAGAAAGTCGGCTTGTCCAGAGAGGGAAGTGAAAGCACCCGGAGATGAAGTTAACCTTCTATTCGATCTCGGTATGACTCTGTACCTAATACACACAAACGCGAAAGGATTTCATTGCTTGTGCCTTGTGAAGAGAGATCAATAGTGATGGGAATATATATGGATGTCTCTGTATCCGGGGGGGGCGCATATTTGGTTGATTCTTAATATGAGTTGCGCCTTCACCGTTGATAACAGAAGAAGGAGGATCGTTCACAAGCAAGAAGAAAACTTCGCAATGGCCCTTTCCCCTCCGAACACAAAGTCAAGAATTATTCGTAAAGATCCTGGAGGCGCCATTGTGACTGGCTATAAAATACTAGGAAGGCTATTGAAATCTCGGAGACACAACCACAATCTTCGTACGGTCCATTATCATTCATTCAGTTCTCAGTCCGGTCTCATGGCTAGGGAAGACTAGATATGTGTAGACTTATTTATACATGCACAAGCCCTGTCTGCCTGATGAAGTCGGTGCTGCCTTCTCTCGCTTTTCTTATGGTTTATTGAAGACGTCTACTGCGGGACAAAGTGTAATATGACGATGTCGTGCTATGGACTTAACGCATACTGTTTTGCCAAGTTACCTCTGTGTGAAAGGCTGCTGTCCCAGCGACAACCGGTTGTGCAGAGGTATATTGATAACCGAGCCAAGGACGAAGAGTTAAGCTTCTTCCAATATTCCTATCAGCTACGACGGTGAGTTCATTCAGCTTGGTTCCCACCCTAGTTCACTCGAACATCTTCCACTGGTTCTGCAAATTCTCAATCTGGACCAGAGTGCCCCAAGACTGGCTCGCAAGACTATTCATCTCTTGCATGTACGCTGCACTTGTGGCCCCCTCGCTCGTCGCATGCCATCCCAGCGTGCTATTTCCGTGTTGATACCCATCTGTCCCAACAAGGAGCCTGGTCCTCTCTATGTTAGCCCAAGAGAGGCTCTGGGTGCCGGCATTCTGGGACTGCAAGAGCTGCATCTGGTGCACCTGTCTCAGCCTCCGGATTTCCACCACCGTCTGGACGTACACCTGGATTCTCGTCCTGGACAACGCAATGAGATCACCTGCATCGCCGGCTTGACAGGCCTCTACCCACTTCTGTCGCATTCGCGGGGAGTACATGCAGCACATCCTGGCGTCTGGCACGAGCTGTTTGTGGTAATCCATCGGCAGGCTGGCGGCGGCGGGATGTGCGTCCTTGCAGAAAGTGACCCAGCAATCCGCACATATGGTGCAGTCCTCCCAGCCGTACCACTTGGCGTTCATAATCTGTCCATCTCCTGCGCAGGGTGGAACATCGGCGAACGTGCGGACCCAGTTGGAGTATCTTGACCAGACACCCGTCTCAATAGCCTCCGACCAGCGATAAATCTGCTGCGTCCATCGCGGGCTTGAAGAGTGAAGACTGCAAACAAAGGGCTTTGTGGGATCTACACCTCGTGCTGTCTCATAGAATCGATCAAGCTTGAGGGGGACGACCCACGCCGCATAGCAAGCCGGGCAGATTTTGAAGCCCTCGGGGACGTTGCCGCCAGTCAAAGTGTACCACGTATCTCGGTAGGCCCCCTTCTCGGTACACGGAGAGTTGGTGAGGACAGTCTCTGATGCTCCGACAAGTACATCAATTTCTTTCAGACCTTTGGCCATTGATATGGCCATAGCCAGAGGGAAGTTGTTCGTCACGCTGCAGAGCCAGGGCTCGGGTTCTTGTATGTGATGGCCGAGTGCCACCTGCATCCAGTTCAGTCCCATGGTGATGGGTTCTACAGATATGTATTCGAATTCATGATCAAGGGGCGTGGATGCCAAGCTCTCCTTGAAGCATTTTCCGCATATTTTGAAATCGGGCACGCGTTCCCCAGATAGCTGAAACCATTTTCGAGATAATGGGGAGACGGCCACTCCTGGCTCGCATTTTGGGAGATTCAGATACTTGATTGTGGATTGGATCCAGTCTTCCCAGTTATGAGTCAAGGAGTAGTTGATCAAGATCCGGCCGATATAGGTAATGCAGATATCGCACGCCCAAACATCGTCCTCTGCTTGAGTTGAGTCGTATGGTGCCCAGTTTTGGTGGAATGCTGTGCCTAGGATTACGTCTTCGAAGCAGGCCTCGCATGAAAGGAAGCCTTTCAGTCTCGAATCAAGTGGCTTAAACCACTTGACGCCGGCAGTTCCCTTTACGCCGCCCACACCGTGGCAATCTTGGATGCTGAGACGCTTCGTCATATAATCTCGGAGAGGCTGAGGATCTAGTGTTTTGAGGTATTGAGGAATGAGGACTTTGGTGACTCGATGTGTATTTAAGCCACATGCTCCTCTGGGCCTCCGGACACGTTGGAATGAGGCTGAAAGCGGAGTAGCTGCAAGGTACATGTCGTAGCAGCAGGTACAGATGGTGAAGTTTGGGATGTCGGAGAGGTGATACCAATCTGTCTCGTAGTCAACGAGTCGTGATTCGGGACAATCCCACGAGATATCGTTGGGCTTGCCGTCTTCGGAAAAGACGGGTATTGGTACTGCTCTTCTCCATCCATCGAGGGCAGGGTCTGAGCTCTTTGATGTGCTTGTTCGTGTAGGGCTGCTCTGAAAGCTGGTATTTTCCTGCCGAGAACGGACTTGCTCCGTGTTTGTAGTCGGTCGCTGCTGAACAGAGGGCGGCGAGTCTCTGGATTCTGGTCGCTGCCCAGAAGGTGCCGGTGCAGGTCTCAGGGGTAAATTATGAATCAGCATCGAAGGGGCTGTTGATTCGGCGCTGGTAGATACACTTGCCACATCATCGTTGAAGTTGCTTTGGCCATTATCCGGATTACCACCTTCAAGGGGTATCTTTTGGGGTGTGGGTGGCGGAGGTGGATAGGATGTCTGCTGCCGATCGGCTGGTGTGACAGCTTCAGGACTGAGCGCAGATGAACAGGTTGATGTCGCCGCCTGCACCACATTGGATGGACCAAAGGGTTGGTAGTGATAAGGCTCACCGGTGACGTACTGAGCATCAGTTGGAACAACTTCATGGTTCTCCGCCGGTCGGGTGTTGACTGGTAACGGCGGTGGAGGGGGGTAGTGGTGATTCTGAGACGCTGGTGAAGGACCGTCATTGAACTGCGACTGAGGACTCTGGGAAGATGCCGCTGTAGAGATCGCATATGCGCCCTGTTGATTTTGGCCTTTTGGGTTGTGATCCTGAACTAGTGAAGTCGTGCTCGCCGGCGAGATGGATGAGATTGGCGGCAAGCTCATATTGTGTGTCTGCGTTTGCGGTGATCCATAGTCACGATGCTGGGTTTGTTGACCTGGTTGCGCTAGATACTGCGACAATTTTTGCTGAGCTTTATTCTTGACATTCTGGTAGGAGCCAAGCAGCTTTTCGGTCTTCAACCCGGCGTAGAAGGGTTGAGATGCGTGGGTCGTCGGACCAGGTGACTGTGAGGCAGCGGTAGGAGAAGATGGATGAGCATGTAATCCTTGAGACGCATGTTCATACTGCCCTGACGGACTTGTCGCCCCGTCTTGCGGTTGTTGAGGCCACTTCCCTGGATCATATCCTTGAGGAATGGCCGAGGGCAAGGAGGGTGAACTGGGGTAAGAAGACTGCTGGTGCCCATGGCTCAAAGTCGACGTAGATGGAGACCCTCCGGTGCTTTGGGGCCCTCGAAGGTATTGCGACGGTTGGTATGGCGCGTGCGAGACCGATGGTGGCGGCGGCGGAGGATAGCTAGCCGCCGGGCTAACGGCGCGCGGTGGGAGCGGGGGCGGGGACAGCGCGGCGGGCTGACCCGGAGGCGGCGGGAAGTAGGGGTAGCTGCGGGAATCCATCTATTCCGTTTATGAAGCAGAAAGCATAGGACTACCGGGATTGATGGTCTTGATTTCGTGTATGAAGAGGAAGAGTCTATGATATAGCACAATTAGCAACGGTGAAGGGATGAATGAAGCCTTGGCAGGCTTTCAGCTGAATAGACGCCAAGGAAACCTCAGCCCAGCGGGGCGTCGGGCTGAGACCTTACCGCCTGAGAGACTGTTGAGCAGGCAGAATTGTGAAGTTCAGCTGGTTTTTGATTGTCTGGGGGTGACGCATCATGCCTCACGAGGGCTAGCGTGGTTCTTGGCTCAAGGCAGGTTGATGAGGGTGCGGGCATGCAAGCCGTTGAAAGCGGCACCCAAGGGTTCAAGTGATTTTGAATAATGTCAGGTTGGCATTCGTCATTACTGGAGAACATCATATGATTCCTGAAAGCCAAAAGGAAGTTGTCTCACTAGAATTCTCAATCACATGATATATTCATTCATCTCCATTGCGTCAAAACTGTCAGTTGTTCAGGCAGACAAGGGCAGCGTTCAAGTAAACTCACCTAGTTCATAAATATTTCACCTTCAATGTATCCCACAGGATGACCGAAAACGTCCTTGAACTGAAATTTATGGTTACTTTAACAGCATCCGCATCACTCATTCTGGACCGAAAAGAACGTCGTGTCCAAGCACTAGGACGCGGAACTTGAATCAACCGGAATCGCTTCTCGATCTCAGCAGCTCATTGGCCCAGGAAGAAATAACACGAACCCATCTCTTTCCATGTATAGCCGTTGTGAGCGCGGTCTCCGACCTCGCCACGGTAGAAGGATAGGAAAACGGACGATAAAGACCCAAACCGAGATCCTCGGATCTCTTCATCAGTTTTCAGCAGGTAGATTACTCAAAAGCTATAGCAATTCCATGTTACCAGTTACCGATCATAAATGTTCATGACATGAGTCTTCACGATTGCATCGACCGCCGACGCTGAGTTATAGGCCAAAAAAGCGTTAAGTGAGACGATTGATCAGTATATTGGCTTTTCATGTATAAGTATTTGTAGAACTGAAGAGGCGCCATACGCTTCATTCGTTTTGACACTGCTCAGCGACTTCAGGAGAGTATTCCCACCCAAACATCAGAAGACGATGCCTCCTCGCGTTGGGCCAGCAGCTATCGGAGGTAGTTCACAAAGCAAGTAACGATTGACTCCGCTCGAAAGACTCGTCCAAGGTGCAAATACCTCAATTAAAGATAGAACTATACGCGGGATCAGGCACGTTTGGTTTGGGTAACTCTCACAAAGACTCACGCTCACTTATATAGCAAGATGTTCCGCATCACATGTTGAATTGACGCTTTCGAAGACCGGCTGATTCCCAGTAGCCATCACGTAGTTATAAAAACAGCATAAATCAACAAACGACTGTAAATCTCAGCAATAAGAAGGTGCTATCGGGGTGGGACGATGGCTCGACCTTTCTCAAGACCACGTGGCCCCGTACACTGCTATTTGAATCGTTGCCCAGCCGGTGTGCTCATACGGTCCGCTGAGCTAGGCTACTTCTAGTAACCACGCACGTATATTGGATCTGCATAGACAATAAAGTCAGGAAAATAAGGATCAGAGACGCCACACTGTTGTGGTAATTGTTGGTGCGGGTGGGGAGGTGATGCGTCTTTGCCAGACTCGACCGGGGCAAGATGCATTGGATCCAAGAGGATTTGCAAGAAACAATCAGTAAGACCGACCTTATTGTCGATATATTTAGATTACCAAGAAGAATTCAATTTATACATGCCATTAAGGACGTGAAAGGGGAGCACTCAGTAAGCTCATGAAGGACTCAAGTTACGCATGTACTGGTACCATGACCATTGCGGACAACCATGCGTCCTGTTCATCAAACAAACCCAGAGACCCAGCAAGCAAATCTTGAATATCCAAAAGATTATTCCCCATACCACTGCGGCCAATTGACCGGAACAAGATTGAACCTGCCGCAGACCCTGCCTCCAGATCATCGTCCAAAGCCCGGACAAGTTGGCAGTATCATATAAAGACGGCTTAAACACCTTCCGTCGACCAGGAACATGCCAGAAATCAGAGAAGTCGCGACGCCCGAGGCGTGTCCATGTTTCATCAAAAACTGCCAGGAAGTCTCGACAACCTTCTTCGGTCATTTTCCAAGACGCTCACCCCATACATCCGCATCAAGCACCACCACGTACGACTCTAATAGAATACTCTCCAGACAGTCAAAGAGGAAGACGGAGATAATGCCATGTCTACATCCAAAGTTAGGGTAACAGCACAAAGAAGAGCCTCCGCATCTCAAGGTTATTAAAATCACCTCATTTACATGAAAAAGCTCGGAGAGCTGATTCTTATTTGTCTTGGTTGCCACCTATGTGAACAGATATCCGCGCTTTATAGAGAATTACCTCAACCGTTCTTTCGCCTACCGGTCCGAACAAAGTCAAAGATTTCAGACACTGGTGGTTCTATCTTTCCTTGCTACATGTACTGGAGTATAAATCTGGCGAGGATCCCAAGAGGATGAGGTCCATCCACAATGATAAGCCTCCGTGTCCCGCACGTCTACAAGCAGATCTACCTGAGGACAGGCACCAAGCTCGTAACGATCTAGGAGATCGTTGACAGCTAGCTACTACATCACATCTCATAAGCGCAGATATGGTAGCTCCATACTCGGGATACCCCATTGAGTATTGTAAACAACACCCAGCAACCGTGTAAAACTAGAGAGCTAGAATTAACGTCAATAAGCTGATGGGCCTCAGGTACGACATGCTCGAACCACAAGCGATTCAGCATTCCATGATTCAACACATCAAGAAGATGCTTCCAGCAGCCAAACATGTCATGCAGGAGTATGTCGTAGAGAGTAGATTTCGACAATTACAGAACGGCTTTTGAACAAACAAGAGGGTATAGCAGTAAGTACAACGCAAAACCATGAACTGCACAAGGCCCAAAGATCTTCTCAGCCAAGATGCCTACCCAAGGGCCAAAGCAAAGGTATTTAAACATACCAAAGACAAGAACAAATCTCCCAAAATCATATGGAATTATATGTCCTTGGCGTCATTCTCAACCATCGCCGCGAAGACACTGACCAGGGTGCCTCCAGTCAAACGTCATGCTCACCCTGAACGACGACTGTCAAGTGTCCTCAAACATGACGAAGCCGCTTATTCCGTCCACGTATACATATCAAATACCGAAGACGGACGACAGTCGACCAAGGTCATCATATCTTAGGATGAAAAGCGCAAGTTCTGTGACATGGAGCCCCCGAAGTTTCCACAAAGACCGTCGTGCCATCAGCCCAGACAAGCATATTAAATGCAACTGTAAAATTTCGCTGTCGATCAAGACCCAGAGCGCATGACTGTCTCAATATATAAAGACGAAAATCAGTCGAATAATCGCAGACGGCCTCCCTACTCTTCTCCGCCCTGAATACTCCTGTCACGACGCAACATATCCACCAGCAATGCATAGCACATGTTTTCAACTTTGATCTCTATTCAGTATCGTGGGGGTATCAATCCCAAGCTAATTCCAATGCAAAACACCGAGTAACCCGCAAAAACTCCAAAGGCCCCAATGGGGGCGCGCCAAAGCGGCGCTGCCTGGTGTCGCACCCAACCATATCTACATGAAGTCATAAACGAGCGTGTCCGTGAATGTATATGCGAAACCTCTAAAAAGGCCGCGATCGTCGCAGTGAACGTTGATCGTGTGTGTTTGTAGTGATTCCAGTGAGGATTGTCTCATCTACCGTCTGTCCCTCTCATTCCATTACTCCCAATTTTGATACCAGAAAGATTTCGTTCAAGGAAAGCGCATGCTTCGTCTAGCTGTACCAGGTCTGTCCTGGCTTCAGGTTGTCGAGGATGCGGCAGCGGGTGGTGATACAGAGCTTCTCGCGATCGAGGCGCTTGAACTTGGGCCCCAGAGGACCGGAGACGTAGTGATATTGAGCAAAGAGACGCCATTGGCGCATGTCGGCGAGACTGTAGAGCTTGTCACCCCACGGCCCGGCGTAATGGAACCAGGATGTTGGCGCGTCGGGGTTCTCTGCCGTCGGCACAAGACTGGTGGGGTTCTCCTTGCGGTGACCGCTCGCCACATCAACCTCATCGTCAAGATCGTCGTCAAGGTCCTCATCCAGATCCTGAGCGTAGTCATACCAATACGTGTAGGCGTTCTTGGCGGGATCCCAGAGAGGGCCCTTGTCGGTCACGTCCTTGAGCATCTTGAACGGCAAGACGTAGGGATGGTCGCCTGCCTGCGCGTACATGGCGTGAGATCCAACAGCTGAGTAAATGACTGGGCGGTCGCCGCGCTTCTCGACTGCGTGGTACGTGTAAGCCTGGCCGCCTTCATGTTCAGAGAAGAAGATGCCACGGGGCACGCCGTTCTCGAAGCGCATCATGCAGTGCTCCCAGTCGCCAACGTGATTACCAAAGCGGATAGTCAAGACGGTCTGGCCGAGGTTGTACGAGTAAAAGAAGAACCAGAAAGCGTCGACGATGCCGGAACCCTTGTCGACGAGGACGAGCACGGCGGGGGCCTTGGAGTAGCCTTCCTGATCGGGCTTGTGGGTAGGCGTGTCGGGCGGGGGCAGCGGCTTTTGGTCTCGGCGCCGGTTTTGGAAGCTGCCGGTGCGAGCGGAAGGAACAAAATGTGGGAACCGTCGAGGGTCTGAGATGCGGTAGACTGGGTGGTCGCGAGAGACATCGAACCACGTCGTGTCTTCGAGAGGAGATGATGGCACACGGTCGGACCGGTCGGGGTCTTCTGTCGGAAGATCCTCATGGCCGTCGTCCTCACCGCCGTCCTCTTCGTCGTTCCAGGGCTCAGGTATGCCGACGTGGCTGTGTAACCACTCAGGTCTCTGCTCGACGTCGTCGTCACTTGTCAAGTACACCATTCCGTCCTCCTTGTTAAGCTGATGCAAGTCTGAAAGAAGCAGCGACTGGTTCAAAGCTTGCCTCTCAAGGTACGGCGTCATGTGCTTGATGTGCTCTGCAATATCGGCGGGCCAAAAGTTCTCGCCCGAGTAAAGGTGAACCAGCGGCGCATACTTGAGGACATAGTCGGGGATCTCCTTCAGCGTCTTCGCTTCGGTCTTGTCCTGCGGCGCCTTCTTCCTGGAGACCGATTCCCAGCCATTGTGCCGTCCCTCGTCGTTGTACAGGGATCTGAGCTCAAGGCGCAACTCGTCGCCGTCGGTGTCGTTCTTGAAGGGCAGCAGAGCCGCAGGATCCCATGACAGATGGTGAATGCCGCAGAGACTCAGCCAGCGACAGGCCTGGCGATCAAGCCAGTAGGGACTGCTGCTGATCCATCTCTTGTCCTCGCGCTGCTTGGCCGGGTCGGGCGGATTGGGGTTCAGGTACCGTGGCAGGAACCATGCCAGGAAGGAAATGGAGCCCACCACAGCGAGAAAGATGGTGATGCGGCGTAGGTAGTACATCGGGAAAGTCGCAGAGTCGGCTCCAGGCCTGTTCGCAGGTTTAGGAAAAGGTGGTTGAAGGAGAGACGAGCTGGCGATGTTACGGACTGGCCGCGGGCGAGGTGTAGGGCTTTTGCTTTTAGTTGATTCTTAGTCTGAGAGCTGGTTACGGAGGCTTAGTGATGGTTCGGAGGGGTCTCGGGATGCCGGCACGTCTTGCGAAAGCCAGCGGGGACTCGCACAGCATCACAACCTTGGGGAGCTGAGGGATTGGAAGCGTCGTCGGCAGCAATGAGGTTGTCAGGAGGTAGGAGGGAGGAAGGGGGTCGAGCGGAGACGCATGGCCAGTGGACGCTGAGGCCCCGTGGACGGTGTTTTGTGTCGTTGTTCAAGGGAAAGTTTGTGAGAGGAGGGGAGCAGCAAGCTTCGGGGTGGTTTTGGACGGGACGGGATGGATGGGAAAGGGGAGCTGGGATGTACCATACCTCTTGTAAGGCATGCGCATGCGGGCGACGCTGACACGCTGCGCTGTCGGGCATTACATGGACAGCGACCGACGGGAGCACACCTGGCAGCGCAGTGACAGCTGGGCAGCAGACACTTCAGCGCGGCAGCGGCAACAGGCACCAGGGACGCTGCACCTGGTCGTGAAGGCTGGGTGACCACCCCTGGCCGGGCTCGGCCAATGCAGCCGCCACCGACTGGTTGTCTGTTTAAGACGCTAACCCGAACCAGACTCTGTGAGGATCTGGCCGACACCGTAAGGAAGACATGCAGAAGTACAGATACATTGCCGGGGTGGCAGCTGGCGAGAGTTCTTGAACAAGTTGAAAGGCATAGTGTAGGAGTGCATCTTGGATGAGATGTCAAGACAAGCATCAACAGAAATCAAGAGAACTCAAGCACTAGAATGGAATGTAACAGAGTGGCACATTTCTCATCTTCGTACATCTGGTAGTACTGAACCATGGCAGTCGAGCAATAGCAACAGCAACCGCTGCATCACCACTCAACACAAGCACTCAAAGTACCAAACAACCATACCACCTCATTCGTCCTTCTCTTCCCAACTCATTGCAAGTGTTTAAGTTTTAGTCCCTGTCTCGACCAGTAGCGGCAAACCCGGAAGCTCCGGTAGTTGCGGTGGACCCCGTCGGAGCCGTCCCGCGGCAGCCTATCGTATTCAGCGCCGGCCGCGGAACGCGACTCTGCCCATTGAAAAACAACCGGAAACCCTTTTTAGGATGCTTTGTCACTGCTGGTGTCCGCGGGCCATCGTCTTCGAAAAGCACCCGTTGCCGTAGCGGAAGCAACTCCAAAAGTGGCCGTCTTGAGACTAGCATAGCCAAGCGTTGCAAAGTCACCTAACCCTCCCTCAGCCACCGGCGATCGCCTTTGCCCTCTTCAGAGATAGTCGGGCATCTCACATGAGCAGTAGGAGAGATGGTGCTGTCTATAGCACTTACTATCTACTACTAAATAGCAGATCACATCAACTGCCTCTTTCTGTCCCTTCGTACAACCCGACGATCCATCTCAAAGTCCATCTCTTCGCCGCACTGAAACTTCCCATCAAAAAGTCGCCGTTGTACCTGCACATCCCCCATCCGCCACCCGCCAAAAGCCTGGCAGGAAAAAGGGTTCGAGATCGGCGGGAACCAGTTAAATCCCTGCAGATTTCCCACGAGGGGGCAGAACGATGCTCGATAGAGTGCGCTGAAGGAGGGCCCAGTTCGGTCTCTGCAGTGTTCGCCTTGGCGGCAGACTCACTACGACGCTGCCACCTGCTGATTCCTTTCCCCCCCCCTTCTCCCTCTCTTCTGCCGTCCTTCTGGCGGTGTCGTCTGTCTCCAGCCGACTCCACCAACTGAGTGTTTGAGTGCCGGTCAGTCAGGAACTGCGGTGTGGTTGGACGATACCCTGCTGCCCCTTTGCAGCAAGGGGGGCGCCGCCGTCCGATTCCCGGTCGCCGTTGGAAACATTTCGCATCACGAGCGGCTTTGGCCTAACGGAAATTGCATGTGAGCTAGCAAGACTGCTGGCAAGGCGGTGGACGCTGGCAGACTGGCTGTTAAGCTGGGTGGACCACCGAACTGCGCGGTTTAGATGGAATGACATGCTGGGATGATGGGGTTCTCAGGATGGGGCTTCACACTGCAAGAGCACTAGACGCTGCGATGTTTTCGAATTTTTCGTTTTGCCTGATGTAAAAGTTGGTATTTTGAACTACGTTTGCCTCGGTACTTGAGGCTTTTTCCCCCTTCCGCGATGCTTTTCGGGGAATACACCGCTACCTTCTAAAGGATACTTCCGCATCATGACTTCTATCAACACCTAATTTGTCTTTTCAAGTCGCGCATTCACGGCGATCCAGTTCGTCATCTAGCCTTTGGCTTTCGATAGGATTTCCCATGTCGTCGAGCGAGTCGGGTGTCCACGACACCACCCCTCCCAGCCGTGACTTTTTTCCCTTCCACGCTCCAGCCTGACCACATCATGCAAGCCACGGCCATGCATGTCTCTCCCGCCCATACTCATGTGGCACACATCCCAGGATATGCCCGCCCACGAAGCAACTCGAGCCACAGCGCTCTCGTTTCATCCTACCGCCTCATCCGAATATGTTGCAACTCTTGCCTGTGCTGGGGAATTCGTGCCTGTATGATTTTCCCCAAGTTCAAAGCAAAATGGCAATTCAGCCAAACGCATTCGCCAGCTTTCCCATCTCCAAGTTCAGAAGAAGGGCGCATAACATCCTCCCAAACTCTCAATGGTCCGATCAGGAAGCCAAGCTCAGTAGCTCAAAACTTATCTCGATATCCTCTCGTGTCATCACTCCTCAACTTCCTCGTAATCTTCAGAGTCGTTCTCGCTCCCATCCTCGTCATCGTCGATGCCCGCCCCCGCATCCTTGTCCGCAGCCGGCCCTCCCAGCTCCGTCCACGATGCCGGCGTCGGCGTCGACAGCGCGGTTCCAGCTCCGGCCCCGGCTCCGGCCGCCGCAGCCACATCCGCCCCTCCCCTTCCGCGGCCTCGGCGTTTGCTAGGCCGCCCATCAGGCAGCGGCTTCCTCTTCTTCCTCCGCCCGCTCGTGCCGTCGTTAGCTGCTCTCGGCGCCGCGTGCGCATACACCGTGACCTCGTCCGTCTCGCCCCTCTTCTTCTTCAGCGCCATCAGGTTCTCCAGGAACCTCGTCTGCCGCTTCCGCTCGCCCGTCTTGTCCGCCGTGATGGGAATGTGAATCCCGTGCTGCCGCCGTATCTCCTCGAGCGGGTCGTCCTTGGCCGCCGCCTCGTGCCGCGGCTGCAGCCGCTTCTCCGTCGTGTTGATCCGCGCCCAGCTCGCCGCGAGCATGTCCACCCCGCCGGGCAGGTGCCGCAGCGACGGCAACGGGTCCTCCGCGTCATGCTCCGCGAACAGCACCTCCGTGCCCAGGTTGCGCGCCCACTGGCCCTCGAAGACTTTGCCCTTGTACGCGAACATGGGCTTGTCCGAGTGCAGGTCCAGGATCTGTATGTCCGCCGCCACGTCCGACTCGCCCAGATCGTCCGCGGCGCCGGCGGCGTTGTTGTTGTCGCCCTTGTCCGCGCTGGGGTCCATCTGGCCCTGCTCCATGTCGCCGTCGTCTTCCACCTCGGGTGCGGGCTCATCGTCGTTCTCGTCGTCGGACAGGATGCGGTGGTGCTTGGGCTCATCGGGCTTCTTATGCGGGCCGGCCCAGTGTTTGTAGTGATACCCGCCGCGTCCGGATACAGGCGCGTTTCGTCTTCGCGTGAGGAGCTGGGGAATCGAGAGGTCGACGGTGAGGTAGTATGTCTAAAGTTGCGCGGCGTTAGCAGCCTGCCGTCTTCGTCCGCTCGTCTCGTGATGGCGAAGTTCCCACCTCGGTCTCGGTGGTCGAGTACTCGTACTCCCACTCGGATTCATCGGCGTCGTCAAGATGGCTGGGCGCTCGCAGGGGCTGGTCCACGGGCGCGGCCGCCGCCATCACCGGCGCAACAGCGTCCGTCGGCGCCGCGTTGCTCGCCATCGTTACCGCGTCGACCTGTGGAAGACGACTCTAGTCGTGTATTGGGACTCGTGCATTTGGCGTTGCTACTGCGATCTCGAAATTCACTCAAGGCGCAATCGCCAAATAGTCACAGCTTGCGTTCAAAGCATTGGTCGGCTCCGAGTGACGTAGAGTGCAATGTTGCAAGAAGAGGAAATTTCGGGAGAGCTCCAAGGGTTCAAAAACGAAATCGCAGAGCAGACTTCCCCTACCAGCCAGCTTCCCCAGTAGCAAACCGGCAGATTACCTCAGTGCAGGGGCCGCGGGCCCCTCCATGCGGGGCACCAGCCAAACAACGGCCGGCCGAACTGTGACTGATCGCAACCCCTCTGCCCCGCCATCGCAAGTAAATTTCCCAGAGGACGCCCTACGCTCTACGAGTGACCGGGACTCATCCCACCTTTGACTCACCACCGGACGACTACTTAACGAGCTACGACACTCTCCGGCGGCTGAATTCCATTCGTTATCGAGCATTGATCTACGTTCCCTCTACCAACCCCAGAAGAACGAACTAAACAACCGCCCGCCATGTCGAACAAGGTCCACATGCTGGACTATGTCGCCGGCAACGTTCGCAGCTTGGTCAACGCTATCGAGAAGGTCGGCTACGAGGTCGAATGGGTCAGGAAGCCAGAAGATGTTGCCTCAGCAGATGTACGATCCCTTTTGGCTTCTTCTTACAGACTATAACGGGCAATGAGCTAACAACCTCTCCTCCGGCGCAGAAACTAATCCTCCCCGGCGTCGGCCACTTCGGCCACTGCCTCTCCCAACTCTCCCAAGCCGGCTTCCTCCCCGCCGTCTCCGCCCACATCGCCTCCGGCAAGCCCTTCATGGGCATCTGCGTCGGCCTCCAGGCCCTCTTCGAGGGCTCCCTCGAGGACCCCGCCGTCCCCGGCCTCGGCGTCGCAAAGGGCCGCCTCGACGCCTTCGACTCCTCCACGGGCAAGTCCGTCCCCCACATCGGCTGGAACAGCGCAAACACCGGCGGCGCCGCCCTCTACGACCTCCGCCCCGAGTCCAAGTACTACTACGTCCACACCTACAAGTTCCCCTACGTCCGCGGCCAGCTCGAGGCCGACGGCTGGACCGTCGCGACCGGCACCTACGGCGACGAGACCTTCGTCGGCGCCCTCGCCCGCGGCAACGTCTTCGCGACCCAGTTCCACCCCGAGAAGTCCGGCGCCGCAGGCCTGCGCTGCCTCCGCGCCTTCCTCGACGGCTCCGGCGCCGCCGCCCTGGCCTCCTCCACCACGACCCCGTCCCCGGAAGCCCTCCCCTTCCAGGACGGCCTCACCCGCCGCGTCATCGCCTGCCTTGACGTTCGCGCAAACGACCAGGGCGACCTCGTCGTCACAAAGGGCGACCAGTACGACGTCCGCGAAAAGACCGACGGCGGCAACGTCCGCAACCTCGGCAAGCCCGTCGAGATGGCCCGCAAGTACTACGAGCAGGGCGCCGACGAGGTCACCTTCCTCAACATCACCTCCTTCCGCGACTGCCCCCTCGCCGACGCCCCCATGCTCGAGATCCTCCGCCGCACCGCCGAGACCGTCTTCGTGCCCCTCACCATCGGCGGCGGCATCCGCGACACCGTCGACACCGACGGCACAAAGGTCTCCGCCCTCGAGATCGCCACCATGTACTTCAAGTCCGGCGCCGACAAGGTCTCCATCGGCTCCGACGCCGTCCTCGCCGCGGAGGAGTACTACGGCGCCGGCCGCAAGCTCTTCGGCAACACCGCCATCGAGCAGATCTCAAAGGCCTACGGCAACCAGGCCGTCGTCGTCTCCGTCGACCCCAAGCGCGTCTACGTCCCCAAGCCCGACGCCACCCGCCACAACATCATCAAGACGGCCCACCCGGGCCCCAAGGGCGAGGAGTACTGCTGGTACGCCTGCACTATCAAGGGCGGCCGCGAGACGCGTGACATGGACGTCGTCGAGCTCGCCCAGGCCGTCGAGGCCATGGGCACCGGCGAGATCCTGCTCAACTGCATCGACAAGGACGGCACCAACAGCGGCTTCGACCTCGAGCTTGTCAGCCAGGTCAAGGCCGCCGTCAAGATCCCCGTCATCGCGTCCAGCGGGGCCGGGCACCCGATGCACTTTGAGGAGGTCTTTGAAAAGACGACGACGGACGCCGCGCTGGGGGCCGGAATGTTCCACCGCGGGGAGTACACCGTCAAGGACGTCAAGGATTTCCTGGCCGGCAAGGGGCTGAAGGTGAGGCAGTTTGAGGCGAGCGTTTGAAAGGAACCAGTGTGTAGATATTGATGGTTGTGGGATGTACATCAAGAGATGTGGGATGAAGACATGAAGAACAATATCCAAAAGCAAATAGACACTTCTTTTTTTTTGTATCAACAATTTTTGATTTGAAGTTGTGGCTGTTAAAACGCTACGTTACGGAAAGAAAAGCCTGGAAGACTTGTGTGGACAATCTGACGCGAACGCCGATTACAAACAAGAACGACAACCAAACAAGACTTTGTGTCATGATCCCATGCCAGTGTTTTTGGAAACGTGCAATTCCTCCTCCTCAGTGATAAATCAAACCGACCCCCTTGAGCGGACAGGTAAACAACTCAATGTGAAAACGAAACCCCTACCGGCAGTGAGGAACTCCAAAGCCAAGTTGAAATGGGTGAAAGGTAAGAAACAGCCGGCCCCCAATTTTTTGCCAGAAACAGAAAAAGAAATGCCTTGAAACATGAGACTCAGATCCCTCTCTTTTTGTCGAACCGTTGCTTTTGATGGCGTTCCCTTTTCTGTTTCCGATTATGCTGGTGAATCCTGTGCTTTTGCTGTTCCCGAAAGAAAAGGAGAAGAGATGCGCGAGACGCAGAAAAAAAAAAGTGAATCAAAGCCGAAAACTCCCAACTGCCTTAGCTTTCATGAAAACAGAAGAAACACAAGAGATAGCTGTTCATGTACTAGATTTCCATGCCCATGAACAGCCACCTGTTGCTCGTCACGTCCACATCATGCGCCCAGCGGTCCAGCGTCGTCAGCTCGAAGCCCACCCACTGCAGGCTCTTCATCAATGATTTCGCGTCTTCCTCCTCGATGCCTCGGTCAATGCAGATGACGAGATGCTGGCAGTCCAGTGGACCGTCAACCAACTCCATCAGAGCCATGAGCCTAGATAACGGTCAGCATGTAATAGATCGTGAGTAATCTCAAGTGAACGTACGCAGGCTTCAGGTCACGTCCGATGACGTTCCTGTCATACAAGGCAAACAGGGACTTTTCAGCCCCGTCGTCCGCCACAAATGCCCGGAAACTCGCGCCGCCGGCAAAGTCCCAGACCTCCATCCACGCCGTGGCGGGTGCGGGAGCCTTTGTATCGGTCTCACGCCCGCCAAAGTGGGGCTGAACAGCCAGGTCCTCGTCGGACGGCGGAGTTTGCATAGAATAAACACCCGTCAGGCCGGAGCCATTCGGACCAGTGCCCCTCTCACCGCGGAACACAGCCTTCATGGACTCGCAAAAGAATCTCTCACATTCTTCCCTGATCGTAAGTGCTGCCCCCCCTCGACGGCTGATCCTCTTACCGGGCTGCTGGCGCTGCTTGGTGGCTTTGGGAAGCAGCGCGAGCTGGTTGGATGCCGTTATGGCCGCGAGGGGGGGGCTTGATGGAGGTGATGGTAGTCCTGAGGAGGGGACCTCAGGAATACCACTCGGCCCCTGTTGATAGTGGGATGGTTAGCGTCGTGGTTCATGCATGCCAGAGAGTGTGTGAGACGTTGGAAAGTGTGGGGGCGGGGACGGATAGAGAGAGACAGGTGATCGACGAGTTGATTGAAGATGAGGCTGAAGAAGGGGTGATTGGAATGGATGCGACGTACCTGCGGCCCCGGTAGTGCAGTAGTGGAGACCGCGAAGAGTCGCGGCAGAGTCGACGATGTAGCAGCTGGCAAGGACATTGGCCTGACGGACAACGGCCTCGCCATCAAAATTACTACTACTGTAATTACTCTGCTGTCTCATTGGCGCCATTGCGATTGATTTCCTGGGGGTGTTGGTCTTGACTCGGTGTATTTTTGTGATGTGGTGTTGGTAGGTGCGGTTCTCGGAGATTCGGAACCGGTCGACAGATTGGGTGGGATTGATCGTGATCGAGAAGGTTGAATTGGATTCGGAGAGTTGGATTGGAGTCGTGAGAGACTTGTTTGGATGATCGAGCTATTAGATTGTCTGGCGGTGAGGCTGTAAACAGCGGATTGATTGCTTGCTTGTCGAGACGGAGAGGTCGTCGAGATTTTTTTTTTTTGCGTTGCGAACGGCGGTTGTTGCGGGAGCGAAGGGGTACCTTCTTTTGCGAGCGGTGAAGAACGGTGTGGGAGGAGAAGGGCAGGAGGTCAGTGGGTGAGACTGGCCGGCGAGTACCTTTAAAACCACAGCGGAGTCCTAGAGCGTGGAAACGTCCAGCGTGGCGGAGACGGGGGCACCGTGGGAAGGGGACCAGTTGCTGCACCACCAGCGGCCACGGCACAACCACCCAGCAGCACTGGAACCACACAGAACAGTCATAATCAGCCATGCCATCTCCACCTTCCGCTTCTTTGATGGCGCGACCACCCATGCTCCCCCCTCTCTTGCCAGTGTCCTCTCGATGGCAATGCACCTCCACGGCATGGCATTTGATGCGTAACATGTTTGCCATTGTCTGGAGTCTGAGCCTGTTGTTGGTCCTTCGCGAAGATTCCAAGCATCATACACCCTCCCCCGACGAATTGCAGGATGATCACGCATCGACTTCCCCAGTTTCTTGTTGATTGCCGCACCGGGACCCCTAATCAGAGCGTCGTCCACCACGGTAGCACGGAGCGGACGGCCTCTGGGCTTACGAAACCGGCCAGGAGCCCACTGCGGCGCCCCGTACATGTTGCACTGTCAAGCACGTTTTCCACTGCGCCGCGTCACATTGGCTGCCTTTCTTGTCTACCCCTTCATCCCGCCGCCAATTCAAAGCCCTTCTCCGTCCTTGGGCTGGTCAAGTCGTGATCTCCTCAACCTCAATGGATTTTGGCTTTGCCTAACTACCTGATCATCCACGAAGCCAGTCAACCGCCGCCAACAATCGCGATTCGGCTGGACGCTCCTCATCCGGATCCGGCGCGGCGCTTGGCACTTGGACCGGCGTGCCAATCGCATAACAGACAGCGACAAGGGCCGTGGGATGGAGTGAGGGAAAGGGGGGGGGGGGGGGGAGCTGCAAGTTCACATGCACGTGGACAGCGCTGAACCGAGCCCAGTCGAGCCCAAAATCCAACCTGCAGCCAGCCCAAGCCCAGTGTCTGGCGGACGGTGTACACGGAGAACCCTGACCTGTTCTTGCATCACGGAGTTTGCCTCTTCTTAGTGATGGATTCCACAAGAATGAGTAACCCCTCTGGATCCCCTAGACTTTGGCTGGAGCAGTTTGAGGTAATCGCACACCATACGCCGACATCTGGTCCAGCACAAGGCAGATCATCGTATCAGCAGATAACCGTGGAAGCTTCTGATCGATCGGTGTGCTTATGGTTGGCCTTTTTGCGCCAAACTCCAACTGCCCAGAACCCATTCCATCCCCCAAACCTTAGAGGCCAAGGGTCGCCTTATCCTTGGCTTGCGTGATGTTGTCTTGAGTCCCTTAAGTCTATTACAAACGCTCGCCGTGCCGTCGCACAGCTTTAGTCAAAACGGTCCAAACGCTCCACGGACAACAACGTGGCTCCCTTTCCCTGGGCAACCCGCGACCGTCAATGCAGCGATCCCCCGCCCCGGAGCCCGGCATGGTCGGAGGAGCCCACGAACCGTTCGACGGGATCCGGTCTACCTTGGTCGATTGATTAATCACAGGAATGCCGTGACAAGCACTTCGTCACCGAACACCAGCTTGCGAAGAACGTCAGTATACGGCGGAAATACTGGGGTAGACGTGGTGCGATTCCCCAGCTTTGCGTCAAAGAGATGTGTGCTCTCCGGGGTGTTGGTGTTTCTGTTCGGGTCACTTGACCGCGCCCAGCCGCTCCGTTTCCCCACACTTGACATTTCGCGATTGCGAGTCATCATTGCCTGGGCTCCGGGGTTCTCATCGACCCCGTTACCCCTTGACTCACTGGCATGGCATGAACGGGGCGGTTTAGCTGTTGCTACTTGCTAATGATAAACATGAAGTGCCATCATATCGCCTAATAATAATATCCAAAGCTGTTCAAGAACCATCGTAGATCAGAACGAGAATGTGGTTTATGTTAGACTGTCGCCGCGGTTGCAATCACCCGGAGGCGTCTGCGGTTGGTCAGCAGGCCAGCAACTCAATGGCTCAGATGACCGTCTTGTCCAACTTGTGCAAAAGATACCAAGCAAAACTTTCGGTGTCAATTGCTCCATACCCCGAACCTTCTCTGGACGCACAGAAGCTTTCCGGCAGGGCGTGCAATATCGCAACATCACGACTCGTAAGATTGATAGCGAAACAGAAGCTCGCTCCTTCTAGAAGCCCTTTAACTTTCTCCTTCCCCTCTCTCGCTCGTCTCCCAAAGAGGGGGGAAATGGACCCCCAAAAGCTTGCCGCACACCCGTCGCCGTTGTCGTCGTTGGCTTGGAGCACATCTGACGGGGCTTGACTATCGAATGAGGTGATCAATGATCATACCCACATTCCCGTCCAACCAGCACCACCAGGAGGAAATCTCGAGTGACACAGCAAAGAATATTGGGAAGGGTCGCCGAGCGTTGACAAACCAACTGCAACCTCTCCCATTGCCGGCACCGACTACACTATCCAAGGATGGTGCGGCTTCTCCACCTCGACGCATCTTATCGGCTCACGTCCTCCAAAAAGGTGTTATCGATAACGCCCTGGAGGGTGGGGGCAGACACCGGACTGACCTTACCCAAGCCTAACGACCGCTGATCGCTCATGCGACATGCTGCCGCCCGCAACCTCCGAGCGCTGGTCGTCTGAGACTGTTGGTCGGAGGAAGAGGGGGTTGGGGGTCGAAGAGGAGGCCAGGCCAGGCCAGCAGATGTCCCATTTGCCCTCTCTCCCAAGCTCCGTTCGGACTTTGTGAGGAGGTAGAGGTCACAGGTTCACCCTTCATGAACGACTCAGCCAGTCGCCAAAAGCTTCCGCAGGATCTGGCATGACAAGCTCATGTTTTGCCCCCTCTCTCTTTCACCTTTCTCCTCAGCGTTCCCCGAATGGAGTAGCATTGCAAGCCGAACTCGAATACAACGGTTACTTGCGCAGCTTACATGTAATCGTTTGAGACGAGAGGTCAGAAAAGGGAACGGCGCCCAGACCTTAGGACGTAGTATCTCTCACACACCGTCCCTCACCGCAAAACAAGGCGGGGGCAGCCGTCGCAACGGCGCGCCGGCCGCATTACCTTGAGACCCAGAAAGAGAGAGAACGCATGGCCCATTACCTTATCCTTTACCCTTGAAGTACCTTAACTACCGCAGCAGCCGTGAAGGAATTACACACACACATCGTTTTTGGCGCGCGATCCCCAACCTGCCCAAACCTGATGCCAGGCGGCCGGCCCATAAGTCATTCAAGCCAGCCTGACCTGCCCTCCGTCTCGTGCCGAAAAGCTGTCTTCCATCCTTACGAATGGGTGTGCCTACCTGACTCTGTCTTCCAACCCGGTCTTGACCAATAAGTACGCCCAGCCCACACCATCTTTGACATCGAACCAAGCCGTCTGACGGACCCTCTCCGGTCGCGCAGCCCAGGGCGTGACAGCAATAACCACCCAAGCAAACCCAGCCCGGCGTCGTCCCAAGATTTCCTTATCAATACGCCTATGGTCCCGGACCGACTAACACCTACATATCAAACACCAAACACCAAAGGAAGAAAAAAAGTCATGTTTGGCTTCCCGACTGTTACTTCCATCGTGCGCCGCAATCTCTCCCAACGAACATAGCTCCTCTTTCTTTCTGTCCTCCACCCGCATATCGTGCCCGTCCGGACCTGTATCCGGAGGCGTTGCGCAACTTACACAACCTCGGGCGCATATCCTCGAGAGATACAAAGAAAACGAAAAAAAAGTAAACACCAGGAACCATGGCGCCAAACATCATCGTCTCCCGCCCAACGTTCCCAACCTACCTCCTCCCCTCTTTCAACCTCCCATTCCGCCGCCGCCCATCCTCACCACCACCACCACCAACGACGACGGCGACAACAACCCTAACGCCAGAAGCAAGCCAGATCCCCTCCCTCTCCTCCTCGCCGACATCCTCGACAACAGACGAGGCCCCGACGCCTCCAAACAGCCCTCCTCCGCCGCCCTACCAAGACACCATCACAACCTCATCGCCCACCTCCCCCGCCGACACCAAAATCCCGCCCTCCCGCCTGCGCCCCCGCCGACAAACCCGCCCCAAACCCGCCGCCCTCACCATCACCCGCACCCAGCCCGACACGTTGCGGTGCTCAACCTGCTCCAGCGACATCGCCTTCGCCTCCCAGATCGTCTCCAAGGGCTTCACCGGCCGCTACGGCCGCGCCTACCTCGTCTCCCCCACGGCCCTGCCCACGCCCGCCTCGCCCTCGTCCACCAGGAACTCCGGCCCCGCGGGGCCCGGCACCCTCGCCAACGTGCGCATCGGCAAGTGCGAGAACCGCCAGCTCGTCACGGGCTGGCACGTCGTCGCCGACATCACGTGCCTGCTGTGCAGCGCCAAGCTCGGCTGGAAGTACGTCGACGCCAAGGAGCTCAGCCAGAAGTACAAGGTCGGCAAGTTCATCCTCGAGGTCGAGCGCGTGGTGCCGTTCCGCAGCTGGGAGGACGTTTCCCCGGGGCAGGGGGGCTCCCCCGATGAAGACGAGGATGGGGTGTCTGACGAGAGCGAGAGTGACGAGGATAAGGTGATGGGAGGCACCAAGGACAAGGCGATCGCCGGGGATGCGGAGCGCGAAGGCGAGGAGAGCGGGGAAGGGTCCGCGGGGGAGGACTCCTCCGAGCCCGAGGAAGAGATTGAGTTGGACTCGGAGGACGAGGATGATCTTGAAGACATGTTCTCCGGAACGTGGGACCCGGAGGTGGTGGCGAAGAGGCGGAGCCGCCGGGTGACGGCCGCCGCCCGGAAGAAGTAGAGCTTTCGCGTGGAGAAAAGCTCCGATACCCACCCACTCCACGAGATATCCCGAGCCGATTTGGGCTTCACCTCATCATCCACACCGGCGTTTTGTTTCTTTGGCTCGATTTACCGGATACGATATACCACCACGCTGAACGCGCAGTATGACATCTTACGGACTAATACCCCCACATACATAGATTTAACTTGGGCACGAATAATTTGATTGAACTGGGTATTTGATTATTTCGCCTATGACCTGAACTTTGAACTTCCTGAATAGCGGTACACTACCACGCGACAAATGCGTCTACAGTGTGCCGGCAGATAATCGGCTGCGGGCCAGTGTGGGCCCGTCGTTAGCCGTACAAAGCAGCTGACTATGTACGCTACCGAATCTACTGTTGCTTGCCTCCTCCCTCCTTGTGGTCACACGATCAATTATGCCATGGGCTCCTCGGCAACGTAGTGCAGGTAGGCACCCAGAAGCTTGATACCCTCGATGTAGTTGCGCTTGTCCAGCTTCTCGTTGATGGAGTGGGCACCGTCGGTGGAGCTACCCATGGGCAGCAGAAGGACGTTCTTGCCAGTGGCCTGCTCGAAGGTCAGGGTAACGGGAATGCTGTGAATGGTTAGCAACTATTATCATATCTGTGGGCGAATTGTATTTACCTTCCACCCTCGCGAGTGAAGTCGGGCTGGACACCCCACACGCGCTCCGTAGCCTTGGCAGCAGCAGTGAAGTTCCAGTGCTTGGGCGACGCAACCCACCACTTGCCAGTGTGCTGAGCCCACACCTTCATGGTGTTCTTGCTGCCAAGCTTGGCGAACTGCTCCTTGACGTACTTGTAGACGCACTCATTGGTCTGGTCGATCTCCATGTTGGGCACGGTACGGATGGAGAACTTGCCAGTGACCTTGGCGGGGATGACGGTCTTCGCGCCAGGGGCGGAGAAGGCTCCCTCTATGCCGTGGAGGGAGAGAGAGGGGTAACGCCATCTCGCCATGAGAGTAGGCTTCTTGTCCTCAAAGATGGTGGTCTTGCTGCCGAGAGACTCTTGGAGAGTCTCCATGGTGAAGGCAATGCCATCGTAGAGACCCTCCTCCTCAGAAGTGACAGGAGCAACCTGCTCCATGATACCGGGAATCTGGATCTTGCCGTCGGTGTCAACCAGGGAACCCAAGACGCGAACCATGTCGGTCATGGGCTCCTGGGCAGTACCACCAAAGACACCGCTGTGGAGGTCGGCGCCGGGGCCGGAGATCTCAACAGAGTAGTAGTTGCAGCCACGCAGACCATAGGTCAAGCAAGGCTTCTCAGTTCCAAGCCAGTAGTTATCGGAAATGCAGACGGCGTCGGCATCGGCGAAGTACTTCTTAGCCTCGGCCTCAATAAGATCATCGAGACCTTCAGAGCCGTACTCCTCCATACCCTCGAAGCACATGAGCAGGTTGACGGGGAAGTCAATACCGGCCTTCTGGTGAGCCTCGATGGCGTTCAACCAGCCGAGAACGGGTCCCTTGTCGTCGGTAGAACCGCGACCAAACATGCGGCCCTTCTCGTCGACGGAGAGCTCGAAAGGCTCAGTAGACCAGCCGTCACTCTTCTCGGCGGGCTGGACGTCGTAGTGACCGTAGACTAGGATAGTCCTCTTGTTCTTGTCGTTTCCGTATCTACCGAGCACAACGGGGGGCAACTGCAGGCCGGGCTTATCAGGCTGCTCGCCGAGGGGGCGGAGCTCGACGGAAGCGCCAAGAGACTTGAGCTCGGCGGCGAGCCACTCGCCCATCTTCACGACATCGGGACGGCGCGCGACGTCGGCAGAGATCGAAGGGATCGCAACGGCCTTCCTGAGGCGCTCGATGAAGTGGTCGGCATCGGTGTCGACCTGCTTGAAGTAGCCGTCAAGTTGGGGAGCCATCTTGCGAGCTTGGTGAGCTTGTATTGCTTGGGTAAGGTAGGGACGGCGAGCGTTAGCTATCCGAGTCGTTTGCCAACACGGGAGAAGTCTGGGAGTTGTAGGAAGAAACTTTCGAATAGTCTGAGGGCGGGCGAGGCCGTTCAACAATGAGGTGCGGGGCATGACGCCGGACTGGACCTTCTAAATCGGGCGCAATAGAGCTGACCAGAAATCTGCTGCACCGAGAGTACCTCTTACCACCACCACATGCGCCTGCCCACACTGACTGTGACTGAGGTGCTCAGATGGCGGGGTACTCAATGCGTGGCGCTTCGGCAAGCAGCGGCCGTATCAGCAGCAGTAAGGGACCGGGTGCCCGCAATTTGCTAACACTTTGGAGAGCGTGGAGACGCTAGGCCTACAGCGTAGAGGACCTTTTGCGTGCTGCAGCACGTGACCCGGTCGCGCCGGCGGTTTCCGTTTGAGAGTGGTTTGAGACGGGAGCTCTGTGGCTTACTGCTAGTGGCTGGTGCTGTGGCTGATGGTCTCAGTGACTCAGCTCCGAGTTTTTGGACGTGGCAGGAACAAAGAGGGAAAGCAGCAGTGAGTGGAGACTGGGAAAGACCCTCGGAAATTCGTGCCTGCCAGCTTAGAAATTGCACTTCGACAGCTCACGTGCCATCCAGCAGCCCAGCCAGCTGCGACCTGCCACCTGCCCCGAGAGAGAGTGCTACAGAATCAGGTGGCAGCGTACCAAGTGGGTTCCAGAGCACCCTCTCTTCCTCTGCCAGCCATATCTGCCTGCAACCCAAGCCCGGCTATATCTCTCTTCTTCCCCCTTTGCTTTACTCCTCTTTTTCCTGCCACGAACATCACCACGTCGCCCGTTTCCCCGTCATTTCGATCGCTACGCCTTTCCTTGCCTAGGGATCCGCTCTTGTACGACTGTGCGACATTTTACCTGCCGCTCAGCCTTCAACCAAACACTTTCCGAAATCTCGGCGACAAGCGACGCAAGTGCCCGCTCGACGCGAACCTCTCACCACCCCCGACCGTTGTCTCCCCTACTGGCAAGCAGAGCATTGCAGCAGCTCTCGCTTCGATATACACACATACTGACCAGGAGAAAATATACTTGGCTTATTGAGGCTTCTCGACTGATGGTGCGCACGGTGTCGAGGTGATTTGGCTGTGAGGAGGAATTCACACAAAGGGCTGCCTATCGTCCAGTTGGTTGTCGGCCTCTTTGGCATTGTACTCTTTCTCTACATCCCACGAACCCTTATTTCCTTGTTCTTCCAAGTAAATCAGAATTGATTTTCATTACTCTTGAGAGGTGCAGAACGCAAGAGAGATCACTCAAAAGGCAACAAGAAAAAATACTAGCATCAAATCACTCTCTACTCACCTAGCTTCGCGTCTTCGTGGTCGCCCTTCAGGTTCACCATCGCCGCATTCAATCAATTCTTGATCTTGGCCATTACTGCTGTCGGCGTCTGCTGCTTCGATCAACTGTCGTAATCAGACTACGCAACGCGAGACACGATGGCTTCCTCCGTCTTTTTCAAGTTCAAGTCGCAAAAAGAGCCGACGCGAGTCGAGTTCGATGGCACCGGCATTTCTGTGTTCGAGCTGAAGCGCGACATCATCCTGAAGAGTGGTCTTGGCGACGGAACTGACTTCGACCTGGCCATTTACTCTGAGGATGGAAGTGAAGGTAAGCCCATTTCCCGACTGCTGTGATGACCCCCTTCTAACCATGGGCAGAATACGACGATGACACGACAATCATTCCTCGATCCACGACCGTAGTCGCTCGCCGACTACCGGCCGCGAAACCCGGTGCTGGCCGCGGCGCTAGATATGTCTCCGGCAAGATGCCCGTCGCCGCGAAGAACTCCTCTCGAAAGGAGCAAACGACCAAGTCTGCAACGGCCAAGGCGGCATCGAATGCCATCAGCCAGATGAACAATGCCATGACGGAAGAAGAGAAGATGGCGGCCATGTTCCAGGCCCAGACCGAGTCTTGGTCTGCCCAACAGGAGGAGATGTCACAGTAGGTTATCCCGACACGCAACGCATACTTCAGTCACTAACATTACCACAGCCAAACACCCGTTTTTAAGCCTGGATCCAAAAAGCCTGCCAATGTGCCTGATCATGATCCTCCCAATGGATACATTTGCTATCGCTGTGGAGAGAAGGGACACTGGATTCAACTCTGCCCGACGAATGATGACCCTGAGTTTGACAACCGTCCTCGCGTGAAGCGTACTACGGGTATCCCCCGCTCATTCCTGCGCACCGTTGACAAGTCAGTCGCCCTCGCACAGAGCGGCGACGACGAGACCAAGAGACCTTCTGGTATTATGGTCAACGCTGAGGGAGAATTCGTTATCGCTGAGCCTGACAAGGCATCGTGGGAACAGTTCCAAGCCAAGGCGAAGTCTTCAGCCTCCGCTGCCAAGGCGATTGCTATGGGAGACAAGGAGTTGCAGGAGAGGGGATTGGAATGCCCCATCGACAAGAAGATGTTCATAGACCCAATGAAGACCCCGTGCTGCCAGAAGACGTATTGCAATGATTGCATCACAAATGCTCTCATCGAATCGGACTTCGTCTGCCCCAACTGTTCTAACGAGGGCGTTTTGATCGACGACCTGAAACCTGATGAGGAGGCCGCCGACAAGATCAAGGAGTATCTGAACGAGAAGACTGAGGCCAAGAGCCCGACGGCAACGGCCGCATCCCCCGCTCAAGCCGCTTCGCCGAAAGAGAACACGGAAGAGGCGAAGACGGAGACTGCCAACGGAACTGCGAGATCACCCACACCTCAGAAGTCGCCTTCAACCGCCCCGGTCACCATAGCGGCCCCTGCAGCCGACGGCACACCCAAGTCAACATCAGCCACACCCGCAACTGCCTCGGCGAAACCTGTCGATCGTGCTGGCTCCGAAGAATCCACCAATTCCAAGAAACGGCCTGCCGATGAGTTGATGGAGAACCCAAAGATTCCCAAAGCCCCCAAGGCAATGCAGAAGCAGCAGGAACAACAAGCCATGATGAACGGCATGAACGGCATAGGCAACATGCCAATGAACCCTATGATGGGCTTCGGCAACATGAACATGATGAACGGCTTCATGGGTATGCCTAATATGCCCAACATGCCCAACATGCCCAATATGGGCAACATGAACATGGGTATGCCGATGATGGGCATGATGAACCCGATGATGGGTATGCCTGGCTTCAACCCGATGAACGGAGGCGGCTTCGACATGGGCAACAACAACTGGAACGGCGGTAACTTTGGCGGAAACATGAACGGCATGAATGGTATGAACGGCGGAATGAATCGTGGAATGAACGGCGGTAATATGAACGGCGGTGGTATGAATGGTGGGATGAACGGGGCCATGGCCGGCGGCTTCAACCAGCAACGCCACAACTTCACCCAGCCGAACAACGAGGATGACGCCTACTTCAGGAGACCAGTCAATCCCCACCGCCACCAGAATCGCCAACGTCGCGTAAGGCCTAGTGACTACCGCGAGCTCTGAGCGACTTCTGCACGACCATAACAACATTCGTCACGACCTCTTCAACTGTAATACTACTTAGACGACACGCATCGCATCACGGCTTTATCATTCTGGAAAAAAACAAATACGGCACAACTCATGTCCTCACCTGCCAAGAGGAAGTTGGACAAGACTTTAGTCTTCGGCGTTCACGGGGAATTGATTGGGAGGGAGGTTTCCTTTTTTACCGCCTGGAAGGGGTCTCGGGCTGGTCTTGGGGGAAGCAAAGTGTGTGATCGTAATGCAGGAGAGCATCGACACCTAGGGATAACGAGGACAATTCATCCTCCAAAAAACAGTGTGCTCAGCGTGGAGCTCTCTCTGTATCTAACAACACGCACTCAAGATGATCAATAAAGTCTCCTGCACATGAATCACCGGGTATCAAATCGTTTTGTGAATGTATTCTATATCTCCACTCGTGACTCTTGACGCCTCATGCTACCATCCCTTCGTGAAAGCCTTTTCCGTAATCATGTTTTGAACCACTATGCACTAACAACCCTCTCCCCTTGAAACGAAACCTTCCGCGCACGCTTGCTTAGTCCATCTCAGGAGGCACATACGGCGTCGTCAGCATCTCGCTGAACTTCTCCAGCTTCTCCTTTCCACGGACCTCCTCGACGAGCAGCGGCATCTTGACAACGTTGAACTCGTCGTACAGCTCCTCGATCTGCTCGAGGTACTTCTTCTGCATCTTGCGGCGGGCGTTGCACTGGTCGCAGTTGCTGCCCTTCTTGGGGAAGAGCAGCTGGTTGACGACGATGCTGTGGGTGTCGATGCCGTAGTTGGCGAGCTCCTGGATCATGCGCTCCGTCTCGTACAGGGACAGGAACTCGGGGATGCAGACGCAGACGAAGGTGGTGAGGGCCTCGTCCTTGAACTGGGTGTTGACCTCGGAGATGGTCTCGCGCAGCGTCTCGAGCTTCTCCATCATCTCGTTGAGGTTCTGGCCGTTGGGCAGCTGGCCGCCCTGGCCGAGGAAGCCGTTGAGGAGGGGCCCGTACTGGGAGGAGAGCTGGGAGACCTTGGCGAGGGCCTTTTCGAGGACGGAGGGGAAGGAGAGGAAGCGCAGGGTGTGGCCCGTGGGGGCGGTGTCGAAGATGATTGTTTCGTAGGACATGGACTTTACTTGCTTGAGGACTTCGGCGAAGGACATGGCTTCGTCGATACCAGGGATCTATCGTGGGACGTTTTGTTAGCTGGGTTTAACTACGAGGGAGGAGGACGGAGGAAAGACATACGGCAAAGGCGAGATCCTGCATCATGCCGCCCAGACCGCCTGACATGGCGTCCACGTCCTCGCCTTGTCCGGCGAGGAGGTCCTGCATGCTGCCGTTGGGGTCAATCTCCATGGCGCTCAGGTTGGTGAAGCCGTCAATCAGACGGGCCTCCTTGCCGAACTTCTGGTTGAAGGCATCGGACAGGTTGTGCGCC